AATTATTTCTTGTGTTAATATTCGTTGGTTTCACAGACCCCACATGCCGTCCAATGGATGAGGCCTGAAGTTCAAGAAGGATGTGACGTTTCTGACTGGTTCAACATTCTGGTGCTTCATCAAAATAGGTCGGTCTCATTGCAATACTATCTTTTAGATCGTATTGTTACTCTTTTTATATCAGAAAGTTGAGTCTGTAGTCATATGCAATGACTTGCAGGGTGAAATCAAACCCCAAAAATGCAATAAGTGAGCACTTTCTTCCACGGTTCCTTGACTTCATTGTGTGGGGCCATGAGCATGAATGCCTTATCGACCCCCAGGTCCATTGCAATTCTGATTCTTGGTCTTATTGCGTTTAAATAAGTGCGAGGCACGGTGTTCCTTGTCTCTCTGAGCTAAAAGCGTTTACATTTTTGTAGGAGGTATCTGGAATGGGTTTCCACATCACACAACCAGGATCTTCTGTGGCAACATCACTAATTGATGGGGAATCAAAGCCAAAGCATGTCCTTCTCTTAGAAATCAAGGTTATTCAGCAAACAATCTGAAACTTCATCTTCATTTTGATCGTAATGCTTAATCTACTTACTTCAAATATGGTTTCTTGCTCTTCTTAATCAAGCATGTAAGCCTGAGTATTTTAAGATTTATGACTTGCAGGGAAATCAATATCGCCCTACAAAGATACCTTTGACATCTGTGAGGCCTTTTGAGTATACAGAGGTAAAATATATCTTTCCTATATGTTATGGTGTGGTAGCAGACTTCTTTGCTTATGTATTTTTAAAGTGCAGATTGTTTTAAAGGATGAAGGTGACATTGATCCCAATGATCAAAACTCAATTCTCGAACACTTGGACAAAGTGGTAACTATTCCCTTTTCCCATAGTTTCACGTGGATATATCTTTTTACTGCCTCCTTTTTTATTAGGTTTAACAAGTCACTGAATGCTTCTAATAATATCTACAAAATCGTTAGGTCAGAGATCTAATAGAGAAAGCCAGCAAAAATGCTGTGAACAGATCAGATATCAAGCTCCCACTGGTTCGAATCAAGGTAATTTGTTTCCAAGTTTCCTTCACACTGCTTCGAGTTCTAGCAACACTCGTATAATTTTCCAACAGAAGTAGAGGCTAGGCTTTGGCAGTTTAATGCACGCACACCCATAGCCACAATTATATTGGTTTGCTATCTAAGAAAGTCTGAGATCTGGTTCAATCTTTCAGGTAGATTACTCTGGATTTATGACGATAAACCCTCAAAGGTTTGGACAGAAATTTGTGGGGAAGGTACCTAAAATTTAATCACTGTAACATGATGTTCACCATTCTTTCTTGAATGTTGGTTAACTTACGAAAAATTCTCAAACCATTTTCAGGTTGCAAATCCCCAGGACATTTTAATATTCTCCAAGGCTTCTAAGAAGGGTCGGAGTGAAGGTAGGGGTCATTAGAGTAGCTCATTTGGGCCATTTTATTACGCTCTTGTCTAGTGTTTTTTAGTAATCATATATTCTGATCTTCCATTTCACAGCCGGCATCGATGATTCTGAGCGGCTTCGTCCAGAAGAACTTAACCAGCAAAACATAGAAGCTTTAGTAGCTGAAAACAATCTGGTACATCCTGCAAACCTCTTTTCCTTATGATTTTGTTATTATCTTCAGCCCCTGTAGAACTTCGCCACTGAATGATATAGACTTGAATAGGTTAAAAATGGGAATGAATACACTGTGTGATGATCACTCTATCGTCTTGTGCAGAAAATGGAGATCCTTCCAGTTAACGATCTGGATGTTGCTCTTCACAATTTTGTGAACAAGGATGATAAACAAGCTTTCTACTCATGCGTTCAGTACAATCTTCAAGAAACTCGTGTATGTACATTTTCTCTCTCTCTCTCTTCACCATTCAATACTAAGTTCTGTGTAGGATATATTGTTTTCATGATTATTCTGTTCCCACTTTTGCAGGGTAAACTAGCAAAAGATTCAGATGCTCAGAAATTTGAGGAAGAAGACTTGATTCTTAAAGTGGGAGAGTGCTTAGAGGCAAGAAGATTTTAAACTCGGTTACTCTCTGTCGCAGATTTGTGAGGAGGAATTTAGAATATCGATCTGAGTTGGCATTATTGTTTGTGCAGGAACGCTTGAAAGATAGGTCCACTCGGCCCAGTGGTTCCTCACAGTTTTTATCCACCGGATTGACATCAGAGGTTTATATTTCTCCTTTTTAGAATTCCTTGCAGTTTCTGGTTTTACATTCACCTTTATCCTGTCGTTGGTTTCTTACAATGCTATCTTCGACCTGAGATTGGTACAGAATTTGACGAAAAGAAGCAGTGGCATCGCGAATGCTTCTTTCAGTGATGATGAAGACGACACGACTCAGATCTCTGGTTCAGTGCCTACCACCAGAGGACGGAGAGGTGCATCCACTGGTACTACAACTCGTGGTAGAGCTAAGCCCCCAGCAAGAGGAAGAGGCCGAGGTAAGGCCGCAAGTGCGATGAAGCAAACGACTCTTGATGTTTCTCTTGGTTTTCGCCAGTCTCAAAGGTAATTTGTTTTTGTCATCACGTTTAACCAGTTGAAGGCATTAATTGGCATCACTAGCTAGCTAATGTCATGTCCCTGATTTGTCTTTCACAGATCTGCTTCAGCTGCTGCTTCGCCTTCCTTCAAAACTGCTTCCGCCATTGAAGATGATGTAGATTCTCCTTCGAGTGAAGAAGTGGAGCCTGAAGATCTTAACACAATTGACAACAGTTCGGTATGGACTGCTCCTTACACAGTTATTCGTTTGTTCACTACAATTGGCTTGTCTTCTGGAGTAAATATGCATTTAGCAACTTTTTATGATTCTTGTTTTATATACATTAAAGGAGGAAGATGAGAACACTAGAGGCAAAGGACGCAAAAGACCAGCAGCTGCTACTAAGAGAGGCAGAGGTAGAGGTTCCGGGACTTCAAAACGTGGTAGGAAAAACGAAAGCTCTTCTTCATTTCATAAGCTGCTCAGTAGCAAAGACGATGACGAGGACGAAGATGATGAAGACATAGAAAAGAAGCTAAACAAAACTCAGCCTCGGGTTTGTTTAATCTCCTCTGTTTTCCGTTTTTTTAAGTTCTTGTTTACAATATGAGATCAAAGCTCACTTAGTAGTACGATTTGTGAATGCAGGTTACAAGGAACTATGGAGCTCTTAGAAGATAAATCCATATAAACCCTGAGCTCTGACGTCACAGCCCACAACGAAGCTTCATTTTTTTCTTTCTTTCTTTTCTAGCGACCTCTTAAGCGAAAATGACGCTGAAGAAGAGAAACCAAACACTAAAAAGAGTGTTGTTGAGATGTACAGAGAATTTTGTAGTGTAGTTTTTTTCTTGCTCTTTTAAGGTTGTTGTTGATGAATGAAGCAATATTATCAATCCGTTTAGAAATTTGGCAAATGTTCTCTTTTTAATGTAAAGAAAAGTAATTCGCATTCGACTCTTCTATGTACCTCGAATTCGAAAAGTAATTACTTTTTATTTTGGTTTAAAAAGTAAAAAATATAACGGGCAAGGACAAAAGAAGTATGGATAAAAAGAGATGACGTTAGAGATACTTCAAATCCAAAGCTGTTTCCTGATTGGCTAATCCAAACACCTCACTCTCTATCTCTGATTCTCCCTCCTCTCTTCTCATCCACAAATCACTAACATAAAAGTCAAACTCCCTCAACATCAATCCTTCACCAGATAGCAAAGAAGAAGAAGAACACAGAGAGAAAGAAAAAAAGCTCAATCCGGGAGAGAACAATGGCTTCAACATTCACAAGCTCAAGCAGTGTTCTGAGGCCAACACCATTTCTTGGCCAGACCAAAGGCTCAACCTTTAACCCTCTTCGTGATGTTGTCTCTCTCGGATCTCCCAAATACACTATGGTCTGTTTATCTTTCTCCCATCTTTAAAGGTTTCATCTTTCTTCTTGGATTTGTGTCTGATTTTCATTTTTCTTTTTTCCATTTGACATGTGAAGGGGAATGATCTTTGGTACGGACCAGACAGAGTTAAGTACTTAGGACCCTTTTCCGTCCAAACTCCTTCTTACCTCACCGGAGAGTTTCCCGGAGACTACGGTTGGGACACGGCCGGTTTATCTGCAGACCCTGAAGCCTTTGCCAAAAACAGAGCTCTTGAGGTTAGTCTCTTACTCTCACTCACTCGAAAACAAAAACAAAAACTTAACCTTTTAAACACTAAACACTAATTATCATCATTATGCACAGGTGATCCATGGGAGATGGGCAATGTTGGGAGCATTCGGTTGCATAACCCCTGAAGTTCTTCAGAAATGGGTCCGTGTGGAGTTCAAAGAACCGGTCTGGTTCAAAGCCGGTTCACAAATCTTCTCGGAAGGCGGTTTGGACTACTTAGGCAACCCAAACCTAGTCCACGCCCAAAGCATTTTAGCCGTCCTTGGCTTCCAAGTTATCCTAATGGGACTAGTTGAAGGTTTCCGCATCAACGGTCTTGATGGTGTTGGCGAAGGCAATGACTTGTACCCCGGCGGGCAATACTTTGACCCGCTGGGTCTCGCCGACGACCCGGTTACATTTGCTGAGCTCAAGGTGAAAGAGATCAAGAACGGAAGGTTGGCTATGTTCTCAATGTTTGGCTTCTTTGTTCAAGCCATTGTTACAGGCAAAGGTCCTTTGGAGAACCTCCTTGACCATCTTGATAACCCTGTCTCTAACAATGCTTGGGCTTTCGCAACAAAGTTTGTACCTGGAGCTTAAATTTTTTTATGTTCCTGAATGTGATCCTTTTGAAATGATATGAACATAAAGCTTTCTTGTTCCTCTCAAAGTTACAACAAACTTCTATTTGCTATGCACATAAGTTCCAAAAAAATTACATATCTCTCACCTGAATCTACAATGCTCTCAAATCTCTAACATTTTGGGATCTTGAATACTAATACAAACAAAACCTAAGCGAGTGGTTGAAATCTCTAACCTCTTTTGCCCCACCATTTCCTGTTACGACTTTTATCACCATCTACTCTATGGAGTCTTGCTTTAGTCTCTCTTAATCTAGCTTTGTAATCTTTCTTCCACGTCTCAAACCTTAGCTTCAGTCTCCTGAACTCATCTTCTGGATGTTGCTGCCCGTTTGGAGTTGCCTGAGGTCCTCCATGCTTCACCTCCACAATAGCTCTTGCATCGTCGTCGAAGTTGAGCCTCCTCTGATCAAACTCTCTTGCAAGATGGTTCACCGCGTTCAAACTTCCGTTGAGCTCTCTGATTCTGAGCTCTGGAGTGTTCCCGTTGGTGAACTTGGTAGTAGGAGTTCTTACTCCGGGAGTTCCTGTAGACATTGTGTCCTCTGAGTCATAACCGAAAGGAGATATCGATGTGTCTTGTCTTCCTCCTGCTTGACTCGTAACGTTCTCTGAAGCTAGACTCTTTCGAGCAGCTGCAAGACTCATCTGCAGAAAGATAACATTTCATCAGAAAACTTGTGGTGTGTGATGATGCAGTGAGAGAGATCAGTAAAACAAGCAAACCTGCAACGAGGACATTTGCTTTTGCCATGTCTCCTCCATTGACTTCATCTTTACTTCATACTCCGACCATCTCTCCTCAAATTGCCTCAACTGCTCCCTCAATGCTGTGTTCTCCTCTTCCTTCTGCACTAAAGCAGCTTCGGAATTCAAAACACGCTTCTGGAGATCAGACATAGCTGACGGTTGAACTTGGAACTGCTCCTGCGGAAGATCCTACGTTGCAAACAAGAGTGAGTTATAGGGTCATAATTTTTAATTCAGAAGTGGACAATCTCCATTTAATAGTAAGTACTAAGTACCTTGTCTTCTGAAATCCTCCTGCCCGCTTTGCTCTTTGATTTTGTCGTCACATTGAGTAATTCTTGCTGTCTTTGCATACTCTTGAATCGTTTTCGAGCCAACCATCCTCGAACCACTGCAAAAGAAAGATGATGATGAGCCTTGAAATCCATATATCCAAATTTTGAGTACCACTTTAAAGTTTGTTTACCAGATTGCAAGTGTATGACTGCAGTCAACTCTCCTGTGCTTGCTTCAGAATCCGCATGGATCTTTGCTTCATTGTCAAACATTCTTCGAGCATTTTCACCTCGTACATACGACTGAAGCACCAATGCTCCTTTTCTCATGTTATGGAAGTAACCACGAGACAAGTGACCGCGGAAATGCTTTTGTAATCCAACTATGCCTTGAAGAACCTTTTTTCTTCTATCTTCAAAGATACCAATCTATAAAGAAATTGAAGGTGAAGGCATAAGAATTATATCGATGAAGATCAGGAAACAGCATATACATCTCTGCGTAAAGAATTACTTACTTGTCCAGTTCGGAGGTACAGTTTTGTATAGCCAACTTGATACATTTCAGGATGAACATCGTATTGTTTCAGAACAGCGATTGATACGCTCAGAGGATCCTGAGAGAGTCTTTTGTCCGACAATAGGAATCCATATCTTCCTGCAAACTCTTGATGTGTCAAGCGAGTAGGATATCCAGATCTTGATATTCTAACAACCTCCAACACTCCACAACATCTAAGCTGCTGTAGCACAAGGTCCTCTTCATAAACTCTGGAAAGCTGCTTCGAGTTCGGCTTTATACATCTGATGAAGTGAGGACTTGTGTTCTCTAACGTGTTCATCAACTTGAAAAGTTGACCCTGCAAGAGATAATGCAGTGTGAGTTGAAGAAAGATTGCAACTGAAACAAAACTGCAGGATTTCAAGCTTCTTTACCTTGAACTTCGTCCCAACAGTTTGGTTCGTGGAGTCTGATAACATTAGTGGCTTCTGAGATTTGTCACGCATTTTCGAAGAAAACAATTTCAGCAAATGGCAGTCGCATGATGATAACAGATTAATAAGATCAGCAGGCAATGGATCTCTGTTCTTTTCCAAAAACCCATTTGTATCATACAGAACCTGTAAACAAAATCATCATTCCAAGAAAAACTCCATAAGTAGAAGAAAGGATGCACATAATCAGATCCATATATGACATATTCAGTATGCAGAGTCTGGTTTTTGAGCTAAGAACATCAACTGACCTCTCCGGCATAGTGATTAACTCTAAAGGCTCGACCTCTCTCCCCTTTGAAGCAAGAGTTGGTCTTCAAGTGTTGCTTAAGCTTGTTGGCAAAGGTCAAATCAGTTGCTTTCGGAAAATTTGATTCCTCATCTAGTAGAGACAACAAACCAATGGGTTTCTGCACAAACAAACATATGCAGAAATGTCCTTATAGTGTAGAGGAAATCATACTTCTGGAAAAATACTAAAATGGAAATCAATACTATACAAGTGTGGCCATACCTTCTCAATTAGATCTAAGCACTCTTGGTTGTCTACAAATTCGACCTTAGTCCAATCAATTCCATCCTCTTCATATTCCTGAACAGAGAAAGATAATATTATATGGAAGAGTAAAGAAGAAAGCATGCATTCATATCATTTAACCCCAAAAGAAAAATCACCTCTTGTTCAAGTTTAAATAAATGCCGGTTGAAGTGTTGCTGCAATCTTTCATTCGCATAGTTTATACAGAATTGTTCAAAGCTATTATTCTGAAACAAAGGAGAAACAGATCATCATTACAGGATTTCAAAAGAGTAGCGAATAATAAAAATCTATAGCATACGTGATACGTGGATGCTACTAACCTTGAATGATTCAAACCCATAAATATCAAGGATACTTATAGATCTCCCTGTAAGTGATTTGCCGACTTCCAATGCAATGTTAATTTGCTCAACAAGCCAGTCAAAAAGGTTTGCATAAATAAATTTTGCTATGCCATCTCTCATGTCGGTTGCCTGCAGGTAAAAACGGTATAGAAACTCATACATCATCTTATGGATCAATGCACATGAAAGTAAGTATCAAGATTTATGACTGAAGACTGTTAAACATTACCTGCCGCAATGTCAGTTTTTTAGCAATACAATCTGTACCAGCTTGAAGTTTACGGGTAGACAAAACCACCATAAGCTCTTCTGAGTTGCAGCCCATTAACATAGCGGCATTGGTGACAGCTTTAAGAAATAACAGCCAAATGATAAGCAAGCATCACACCAAGTTACAGTTTATGATGAATTAAGACAGTAGATTTCTACCTTCGTCCGCTACCACCTCCACATGATTTTCATTGTCAGTAACTCGGAAAGATACATTCCCTAACCACAACACCGCCGCGAGCAATGCAAATACACGTTCTTGGTGCTCTTTTGGGATTTGAACAATGTCAAAAGCTTCCTACAAAAAGGAGAGAGATGACTGTGAGAAATAACAAAATAATTGGCACCTAAACAGAAGCAAGAAACAGAAGCAAGAACAGGAAACAGAAACAGAAAATTTACCAGTAGTTTGTGAAATTTCTGAGCATCATCAACACCGTTGATTGTCAAGCAATCACTTTGGCTCAGGTATGTGTACTCACTTGCTGTTTTAAGCTTCAATTTCTCTGCAAATAGAACCATTGAAATGATAGTTCAGCAAGACACTTCTAAAGAACATTATATGCTGCCAAATAATTAAGAAAACAGTATTTAACCGTGAAGATTTCTGTTAGTAATGTTACCTTTAAGAATCGGCGAAGCACCTGCACATAACTCGTAAAATATATGGTAGGATCTTTCGCCATTGAACAGCTGAACCACTCTTGACTGGTCAAAAGAGACTACCAATTAGTGACTGATGGCTAAGTAGTGGAAGTCGGATGAAAAAGATTCTCAACGAAAACAAAAGTTACCTTCTCTAGCAGAACTATGGACATTCAACACGAGTAGTTATGCATAACATAGGAAAGAAAACAAAAGAAACGAATGAGCTCCAAATCCAAACAACAATGACAAACAAATCATAAGGATGCTCAGATTACACTCACAAGTGTCAAGTTTGGCTCCGCATATCTTTCCCATTGCACTAAAATGAATTTCTATGAGTTTACCCTGCACCAGTTGAAGATTATACTGTTTAACATCTCAATTTACAAACAACTTGAAAAAACTATACTGAAAAAACTTGTACAAACAACTCACAAATCTACTAGAGTTGGCATTTCTTGATGTTTTAGCATTCCCAAAAGCTTCAAGTATGCAGGTTGTCTTAAGGATTTCGTACTCCACTCCACAGCTACCTCCACCAAGAGCTGCCAAATACTGCATTGCAAATTTTGCCGTCTCCGTTTTCCCAGCTCCACTTTCTCCACTGCAGAACAATAAATAATCAATTTGCCACATCATGCATACAAAAGCATCCACAAGTGTACAAACTTAAGAGTGCAAAGACTCATACCTTATAATAATAGACTGATTCTTCTCTTCTGCATGTAGAAAGATTCAAAAATGTAAGTGCCAGATACTCATGTAAATACAAAAAACCGTGATTATAAATGCGTCCCCTCACCTCTCATCATCTCATCATAAGCTGCATCCGCCACAGCATAAACATGAGGAGCATCCACAGACTTCTTCTGATAAGCCGAGATGAAATCATTCCCATAAATTTCGACATTCTTGAACGGATTCACCGCAATCAATACCGGTCCTGCTTTACTCTATAAAAAACAGAAACATAAAACTTAATCAAGAGGGAGAAACTAATCATAAGAGTCAAAAATTTCAGAAAAAAACTTACATATATCAAGTCCTGCGAATATCTAACACGGAGGTTATATAGAACAGATGGTTCATTCAAATAGCTAAGCTGTATAAGGTCTTCAACACCTTCCAAAATATCTGGATTTGCTGGAAACAGCTCTTCAGTAGACACTTTCACAACCTACAATATCAACAAAAAATTAACGCATAAACCCTTCAATGTAATATGAAAAGTGCAACAACATTAACAAAAAACACTCACATTTGCAGTGGACAGCATTACAAGCGACGTATCAGCAGTAGTAGACTGTATCATCCCCAGTTGCCATTGCCCATTCCCAACCCGACACCAAACCCGAAGTTTCTGAAAATACAATACAAACACAGTAACTAACCACAAGCTCCCAAAAGCTCTGTCCTTTGTGTAATCAAAGAAACCAAAAAGCAAACTTTACATCCCTAAACAAGCAATCTTATCACAAAGTTCAAGACTTTTCTTATCACAAAGATCAAAATCTCAAGTCACCACACGAAAGACTCATAAATTTACCTTTTTGATGAAATACTCGACATTGTCGTTCCACTCAGGTTTATGCTCCTCCGCGTTTTTCACCGGAGTAACCTTAGCAGCACTAATCTTCACATTTTCCTCTTCCTTCTTCTCTGCTTCGTACGGAGACTCAGACTTAAGACCAGTCCTCATTTTCTTGCTTCCGAAACTGCTTCTCTTAACTCCTAAATCCTTCTCTTTCCTCTTCCCTTCCTCTTTCCTCTCCGATCCAGTTTCCGCCGCAGGCTGCGAAGAAGTGACACTCCCGTTCTGATCTTCCATTACACTAGAAACGTTGAACTTCGCCGGAAGCGACCGGCGAGCCGACGGAAGACGAGCTCTGGAGTTAGGCCGAGAAGGAAGCGCCGGCGGCATATCTCTAGGCCGATGATCGGAATCGTCTTTCTGCCGGAGAGATTCAAGCATCTCCTCCAGCGAGCTTTTCGCTAGTGTGTTCGGCGACGCCGATAACATCATCACTTTCTCTTTTTTCTCAATCAAAGACTCAAAATTGAATCACCCGAAAGACAAAATTCGACAAACCCAACACCGGAGATTCGAAATTCCCTTCAATTGGCAAGCATTTCACGCAATCCGAGCTTCATAAACCCTAATTTCTCAAATTCCGGTGAAGTGAACGAGGAACGTCGGAAGGGGAAAAGCAGAAATCTCCCAGACGCCTCGTTAACCATGCATACTTCCTCGAAACCGGAGACAGCTTCTTGGAAATAAACCTAAAAAACAAAACTTTGAAATTCAGCGAAGAATCTCTCACCATTTTGAAAACACAAAAATTTGAAATCTCGAGGCTCCTCCATTTCTGGTAAGGGATGAAGAAAATTAATTTTTTTTGGGAAAATAAGAAAAAAAAAAAAAACGAGAATTCTGACTAAACGGGAAATCAACAAAAACCTGATCTTTGCAAACAAACGAAGAAGAGAAAATGAATTGAACAGAAAAAAAACAAAAGGGAGAGATAGCGAAACTTACGAGGTCAATGGAGACAAGACAGAGAGACTCTCAGGTTAGTTTGTTACAGGAATAACAGACGAGAAGATAAAACAGACAGATTGTTTCCCTGAGAAGATTTAAAACCCTGAGATTTTCCTTCTTCTGAGAAAATGAGGGATTTTTTTCTCTAAAGGATGCAACTTTTGCTTTCTTTTTTTTTTTAATTCGGAAGAAGAAGATATAAAAGAGTAATGAATAATCCTCTGTTCTTCTTCCCCTCTTTCTCTTCGACCAACAAAAACAAAATTCAAATTTTATTCGTTATTTTTTCTTTGTTCAGACAAAAAACTATAAAGTGTCCGAATTTGAATTATATTAATGATTTAAATATTTAGTATATATATCCGTAAAATGTTGCTCGCAAAATAACGTTGCTATCAATAACGCTCCTTTGAATGTACCCCTGTGTTTTTCGAAAATTACCATTAAGGTACTGGATCTTTTACTCTCCAAATATCATATCATTAACTACCAAAATCACTTCAAATTTTATCTTAGTGATGATAGTTTAGTAATAAAACTAGATAGATAAAATACCAAACCGTAAGAAGTTTTGTAGTGTTTCTTTTGACTATTTAATCTATTTGTTTTCTAACACTAATCTCCCGGATTTGCTCAAACAAGATAATATCTTAAACTAGGTGTGTCCATTTACTTTGCTTTTGTTTTTGAAAAAAGTGTGGTTAATCATAGTATTAATTTATTCTTGTTGTCAAAGATTAAACTAAGTCTAATACAGAAATAAAAGGCCTGAGATTTTAAATCCTTTATTAAAAAAAAATGAAAAGAAAAATGTACTAATTTAGTGAACATGAATAGACGTTGCCAAATATTAAAATAGTTCCACAAATGACAAAAGTCAAAAGTATTTGTCGTAGAACGTGACACGTTGGAGTCAAGAATGGTTGTTAAAGCTTACTTGATACAAATATGACGATAATACCCCTCAATCAAGGCGCTCACGTTAGCAACTCTTCAAGTCTGTTAACTCCAACTACCCTTTCGATTCTTCGCCACAAACCATGCTGCTTTGCTAGTATAACGATTTTTTGGCATTCTCATTTGGCAAATGTTAGTTATGTGGATTTTGTGGCATTCTAATTAATGTCACAATATTTTTCTAATGTTCATCTTCCATAATATCTATTTTACAGTACATTCCCGAAACTGTTATGATTCTGTGTTTAGTTTGAGTTTCATGCCACTGTGAAAATCTATCACTCTCACTCTACCAATCCATTTTCAAAATAGTAACGGCTTGTTGTTTACTTCGACGACCGAATAAAGACCGTCTAAGACTCTAAGTATTAAATTAAACCGTACAATGTATAAATACTTCGTAAAATTTATGTGACGGATGCACAAATTCTTAAAGTGAGTATTAATATGGACATTACAGATACATAATTCAGATATTAAGTGAACAAAGCAAACGTGACTTCCGCTAATCTAGCAATTGAAAGAGCATTTAGCTGAAAAGCGCAAGAGCGAGTCAACAATCCGGCTTTTGAGCTTTAAAGCTAAACACACAAATTAATGTGTAAGACAATTATTTTCCATACATTGGTCGTATGTGTTTTGACATTAAAAACATTTTATGACATCAATCCACGTATGTACAAGAACATGATGTTAACTACATTGTTTGTTTTTGTTGAAGCAGGATGATAATTATTACTAATGCTTTGTTAAAACCAAAAGGCTACTGGTACTACTAGCGATAATAACATTACCATTTGATTAATTTTTAAAAATTTCATGTGCGGGTAATTATTATGCACCCATGAGTACTTTAATGTACGTCTCTCTCATAAACACGAATGTTAAACAAAAAAATGGATGATTTGTAAGGGAAAAAGAAGCCTAGCTTTTGTTTTCACCCATTAAGTATCAGTCTTGTGTATCAGTGTATGCATAATGCATTCAATAGTTTTCAGTTTATAGAATCCAAAACCTTCATATAATTGGCAATTGAGTCACCACCACTTTGCTTCACTTATTGAGTTATTGTATTTAGTTCATCATGGTAATGTTTTCCTTTGAATTCCGATAAATGCATATAAACTATAAAGTGCAACATTTTTTTCTTACCAACTCTCGGTGGGAACAAATGGATATGCGTCTTTCTACAGGTACATTTTGATATATTTATGCAAAAAACAAGGCAACCTTTAAGGCTTTAACAAACAAAAAAGGTCAAACTATTAGTATGTTTTTTTGTCAACTTATTCCCGCTTCTAATTTATATATTCATACTTAATTCAGGGATTAAGACTTAAGCAGCATGGATAATAAAACATTATTACAGCAACTCAAGCAGTTTATAGTAAAACTCTCTTTGTTTATTAGTTAAGAACGTAGATACTTTTTGTTGATTGTCGTCCTTAACAAAAGATGTAAACATGCCATGCTGTGAGTTAAATGCATAGCATCATTGAGCATGATGGAGAGAGAGTGACAGAAATATCTTTATTTATTAATTTTTTTCTGACATATACACAAGGGAATGTCCTCACTAACACTCATGTCTCTTCATGTCTATCCCAATCCCTTTGTCCTAAAGTCCCTGACATTCGTCTTCCCTTTTTCTCCAAAAAAAAAGTGTTTATTTTTCTTGTTTTAATGTTGTTGTTGTGCTTGTGCTCGAAGTGTGAGAGAAACGTAACTCTCCTAAATATCACATATACTGCAAACAGTTATCAGTGGATTGAGATTTTTAATAATTATGAAAAATCTGGTGTTAAGTTGGACTAGAGATTGATTTTTAAACACATTTAACTACATTACAGAATTTCTATAATATTAATCGATTATCAAGTATAGTTTGATTAATGCCTTAATGGTTTCACTTTCCCCCATGGTAGCCGATATTGAAGCATATTACTACTAAACTACAAAATTTACATGCTAATCATGTTTAATAAGAAAATAGTGGACGTGAAAGAAGAATAAACATGTCTGTTACTTAATACAGATTCATTCAAGTTCGTCAGTTAATATATTAGGCACCAACCATGTTACTTTAGGAAACTAAAATACGAAAAAAGCATTTATCAAGATATTTGTAAAGAGAGATCGTTATACAAACACACACCGAAAAATGGAAAATTATCTGAATTGTTCACTTTCGAATGATTTATTCTGTTTGTTATAACGTCAATCGTGTTATTGCTTTAATAAAAATCGCCAAATGGAAAAACCCAAAATTGCCCACTACTATCTGTTTCTTGCAATTATTTCACATAGTTAACGTTGTTAGATGATTGAACAATTTTTGTGTGGTTGTAGTTAAATAGTAAATGTTAGATGTGCTTGACTGAACTGATTTCAAGTATGTATGAACATGTAAGTATACATTAAAGTCTTTAAAATTGATCCATTAGGTAAAACAATATACGACCAAAAATGTTTAAGATTCTATTTAAATCGAGCAATTATTTCAAAGAATGGATGCTTCCAAAATCAAAATAAATTATAAATGAAAAGTATGGATTAAGTTATACGCATCCTATGCTCATTAAAAATTTGGTATATAGCTATTATTATCACATGCTACATGTGAGTTCAATATTTCAACGTTGTACGTTTCTAGTAGTTGCTAGCTTGATAAATAAATAACTAAACATATTTATCTTTACATCAAACGAATCATAATTTCTGATCTTATAAAATCGAAATCAGGTCTTAACTGAGAAACATGTAAATACCAAGTGGCTATAGCTTGATTGGTAAAAAGATCCTAGACAAAGCTTAAAGGTCACATGATCGAGTGCCGCTTGAAACGAAACCAATATTACATGATGTAGTTTCGGGCCTAAGAGAATGTATAGGCTTCGACCTGGAACCTCATAGTAATTAAAAAAAAAAAACATGTAATTGTAATTTGTACCGTTCCATTTATATAACTTTAGATGTTGGATAAGACACTCTCCAAAATCCATGCATATCTTAAAACTGTCCCCACGAATCGGTGTCGACCACAACTTACGATTTTTAAATACGTGCGAGTGATGTTTGCTAGAAAGTAAAGTGGACCAAAGTGTCTTTTACAAAACCGGTCTCTGTTCAAAGTTTGGTAAAATCAGCTAAATAGAAAATGACAACTGAGTTTATGCTTTCTAAATTTCTCACTAGCCCACTCAATCACACTCATTGCGCGATGTGATATTTTTAGTTCACAAGTTACAATAATAAAATTCAAACATGAAAAGGCAAAACTGTAGCTCGGTTCAAGATCAGTTGATGATTTTTTTTCCGGTTTGAGAATTTTAGTTCGGTCTGAGAATTTCTGTGGCAAATTTCAAACAATTATATTTACCCTCCAATTTCTAGTTATATCGATTAATGGGCCTCTAGGCTCAAAAGATTTAGCCCATTAGTATATATCACGACGGATTGGTGTCGAGCTTGTTTTCATTTGGACAGAGACGCTTATCTCTCGAGTGCCACGATGATGATGAATTTGAGTGTGAACCGATGCATCGCCGGTGGATTTCCCAGCTGCAGACTCGATCATGGTGGTGGTGAGCTTTTTCATTTTGTTCGCCTTTCCGCTTTATGAGAGAAACTTCAGCTAGTTGAATTGATTGGATTATTGTACGAACATGATTTATCGTTCGTCATTTGTATAAATTAGTGTTATAATTTGCGAATTTTGAATTCCGATGGTGATCGAGATATGAATTTTAATATCTCTGGAAAAAAATTGAAATTGGGTCGGCACAGAGTTTTGTTGTCCTATCAACCACCACATGTTAGTTATCTTCATTCTCAGGACTTGCATGATGGTAACTAAGTACTTTTGAGCCATTTGGTCATCTTTTGAGTTTGTTTTTCTCTCTGTGGGCTACAGAGGGAAGGTGGGTCCGTGTGGCTAAGCATTGTGAGCTTGAGAGAGGGAAAAGTTCAAGGTTCGATGGTGTTTCATCACAGAAGACAGAGAGCAAACAAAGTATTAAACTTGCCATGTTTGGTAGCGGTTTAGTTGGAGGTAGCTTTACTCTGTTTTCACCTCTAAGGTTTAGTACAAAATTTGTTTTTTTTGTTCCTCTTTTTCCTCAACTTTGTTCTTGGTTTCCCAGTGGCAAACTTAGTAACTCTTAGCTCAGCAAAAGCCGCAGACTTGAAGATGATTGTCTTGGTAAGGTTTAATCTTTATCTGTTGATTTCTATTTGCTTTTGGATTTCTGTGACATCTTCATTGGTTTCTGTTACTGTAGATTAGTTCAGCTATGTTTGACATCTTTAGCTGAATAGTTTATTGAGAATATTAAGCTAGTGTGTTTCACTGTTCATCCCTTGGTGCATAGCCAAATGAAATTTGTGTATATGTAGCTACTTGTTTGGGGGTTTAGATCTCAGTAACATTGTTTGGAACAAATTTCTGCCTTGAAAATAGTTGTAAAATCAGATAATAGTATTCTCTTAAGACAGGATCAAGCCACTTCCGTTTACACCTTGGCTGAAGGAACCCTTGGAGATTCGGTTGGAAACTTCTTGTACTCAGCTAACCAACAAGCTAATGAAGCTGTTCAGGATCAGCTTTCAGCTCTCAGTGTAACAAGGTTTGTTTCTTTGCTTCTTCTCTCAATGCAACGCATTTCTAATCTAGTTTCCCCGACTCTCCCTCCTGCTAATTTTGACCCTTGTTGTAGTTTGGCAGTAATATTTGGGGCAGGACTTGTGACGAGTCTTTCTCCATGTACACTCAGTGTCCTGCCTCTGACACTTGGTTATATCGGTATGATAATTCATCTCAAGACTCTGCATTTCCCACAAGTTAAAGGTTAGAATTTTTAGTCTCATGTTCTATTTATTTCCTCATTGGTCTGTTGTATGTTTGTAACATATAGGTGCATTTGGGTCTGGCAAAAGCAGAGGTCAGGTTAGTGGCTGTTCAAATCAGATTTCTATAATAGCTGTCGCGTTATGAGTTAGCAGTAGACTCATTCCTAATCAAAACACATCAGTCTTTTAGTCAAATTTGTAGTTCTCTGTAACCTTTCAGCTCTCCGTGCACTTAGGTTATTGGAGATGCAGTTGCTTTCTCACTGGGATTAGCAACCACCTTAGCACTTCTAGGGATAGTAGCCTCTTTTGCCGGGAAAGCATATGGTCAAATAGGACAAGGACTACCAGTAGCTGCATCCGGTCTTGCTATTGTAATGGGTCTCAACCTCCTTGAGGTACTTCACTTTTATTACATTCATCAACACCTCTCATTTTAGCATCATTGGCATTTGCCATGTCCAACACAATCTCTGATCTTACAGGTGATCGAACTTCAGCTTCCATCTTTCTTTAACAACTTTGATCCTCGTGCTGCAGCTGCAAACTTCCCATCTAGTAATCCTCCTCCTAAGTCAATCATTTTTTTTTGTGATTTTTTGGAACACTTTACTTTCTTCTGCGGTTTCTAACAGTTTGGTCACAAAAATGTGTTGTTAGGTGTACAAGCGTATCTAGCCGGTCTCACATTTGCACTTGCTGCCTCACCTTGTAGCACTCCAGTTTTAGCCACCCTTCTTGGCTACGTGGCTACTTCCAGGGTAATTTAGTTTTGATATCTCAAGTATGAATACGCATATGGGAGCTCTTTTCATCTTTTATATTTTGTTGTTGTTATATCAACAAAAGTGCTCAATGATATTGGATAATAATGTAATGGTTGTGGAACATAGGATCCAGTAATTGGTGGAAGCTTGCTCTTAACGTATACAACAGGCTACGTTGCTCCACTCATCCTCGCTGCTTCTTTCGCTGGAGCTTTACAGGTATCATATGGTTTCTTTTATCTTCACTATATAGTGATATGCGAATTTCAATAACTTTTGTGATTACTTAGTCAGAATCTGCCTTTTTTAACTCTCTTATTATTTTGCAGAGCTTACTTTCGTTTAGAAAGGTCTCTGCATGGATCAACCCCATAAGGTGTGTTAAGATAGATGCACTCTAAAGCTATACAAATGATTTTCATATTTTTGTTGAACTTGCTAAATTTGGGTTTTTCAATTTTTGATGTTTTTGTTTGTTCAGTGGCTCTCTTCTACTGGGAGGAGGTTTGTATACTTTCTTGGATAGGCTTTTTCCTGCTGCTACTATGGTCATGTAAATATTTTTTACACAGAGAATTAACACATTCATTTCTGCTGTTGAAACAAAGCGTGTAATAATAATACAGTAGTAGTATATAAAAAGGGATTATACAGTAAATAGATGATGATGTTTATAATGTAGAATATTTATAAACAAACAAACAATGGATTCGATTAATGTTAGTAGAAATATAAACACAAACATAAGTACTAACACAACAGTTTTCAGAACCGCAGAAGTATACATTTTTGTCTGAACCAAACAAAAAAAACGTTTCTAATGGTCGACACTCGACAGACTTTAACTGGAATATCATGAGACTCACAGAAGACTTGATGGGCAAGTTCCCTTGGTCTGTATTATTTAGTAATGTTCACATCAGTTAGGGTTTCGTCTTGTTTCTTTGCAGCCGAAAAATGTCTCTGCTTCTCAACCATCATCCCTCGAAGCTTTGCTTTCGGAAACCAGTGTTGGTAAGATCCTATCCACGTCCCTCTGATGCCTTCTCACCTTCCTTTATTCAAATGCCTCCTTGTTCTATCGCCTCCATCAAACCTTGCGGACCCGATCTCGGAGAACTAGTGGTTCACAGTCCCAGGGGCGACCCCGAATTCTTGTCAAAGAAGGTGCCTCTGGAGTTGGTTACTCGTGACCCAATGATAACGATCGGTGCATCTCACGGCTGGGTAGCGACTCTCAAGAAGGACGGCGTATTGCGTCTCCAAGACGATCTAAACCCGCATGCATCGTACACGGACCCGAAACGCATCCCGCTGCCTCCTCTTGAGAGACTCTGCGTCGTTGTCAAACCAAGATCGTCACCAACGTGGCAATGTCCTCATCTTCTCCGGAGGATGAAGACTGTGTCGTGGCTGTCAAGTTCTTGGGTCCTCAGCTGAGCTTTTGCATGCCCTCTCGGAGTGACTTGGGGTGGACCAACGTCAGGACCGATCCATGCTTCTACCTCTCCCGTGTCATGTTTTCCCAGAGAGATGGCATGTTTCGCATCCCCGGGTCTGGAGGCCTTCTCATTGGATCGTGGGATCTCCACCAGGACACTCCCAAGATTCAAAAGTTGCGGTACGGAGAGTTTCCCAACGTCAGCATGTCCGCACTCCAGACTATGGAGTCGTGCATCTCTAGCGCGCACTTGGTTGAGTCAGGACCCACCCGTGAAACCTTCTTGGTTAAGTGGTACAAGAAGCTGAAGAAGTCCACCACAAGTGGTAGGTTGATAACTGAAACGTATCATCTAATAGTTTTCAAGCTTGACGATCAAGGAAACGCTGTTCCCACTAAGGACATTGGAGATCTCTGCATTTTCCTCTCAGATTCCGAGCCTTTCTGTGTCCTTGCAAGCTCTTTTCCTGACGTGCTGCGCCCTAACGAACTTGTGACCTATGCTATCAACGAACATTTTGATTTTTGCCTTACAGAGTCCCTCGTCAAGACAAAATATTCTGATCCTGACATCAGGGCCCCTTACCATATCCCACCTCAATATATAGACTAGTAGTAATTGAAAGTCTTGTCTTTCTTTTTTCTCTAAGTCATTCAAAATCAAATCTCGTGTTTTTAATTATCATTCAAAAGCTGATGGCACTTTTGGTTTTGCTTGTAGCTCTTTTATAATGGCAAATCAAGACACTGTCTATGATGACCTATGTACTTGGCCTAAGTGGCTAAGTACGGGATGCCAAGTGCTCTTTACGGTTTCTTTATAGAAACCAAAAGTTTGTAAAATAATTGTCAAGATTATCCCTCATCATTTGATTGCATATTTTTAACTTTAGAATCATTGTCAAGTTTCTTTTATTAATTACTCGTTTCGTCATTCATCCATGTTCAACATAGGAAAAAGTTAAACAAACTCTTCACATATTATCCTTCATTTATAAACCACACGACTAATGTGATATTTGTCGCCAAGAAACATAACAATCATAGACACACATAAGTAGAAATTTTCAGTTTCATTTTCATCTTCCCTACTTACATAATTTTTTTGATATTTGTTACATGGAAGTAAAAAAAGAACCTCCTTAAGTGGTCCTTAAAAAGAGTCAACTTTTTGCGACTGATGGGAAGGGTTGCACTTCTTCTTGAACCACACCAATGCTCACAATCTGAGATCTCTTTCTATGGTACCTAAAGGCTAAAGCAGAACAATGCTGAAACCGCTAACGCAACACCAAGTGAGATCCCAACGATCAAACCAAATGATTATCCTTGCATTGTCAATTATCATGTATTAAAAGCCCCTCTTATTGCCTCAAGCTCTTGTGAGACGATCGAAGAGGAGGACAACAACTAATTTCTCTAATAAGAAAATACAAAACATTTTGGTTTTCAAAAATGTTTCTTTTTAAATGCGGTAATGCAAAAGAAGACAAAAGTATGAAGTAGAAGTAAACGTGGAGAGAAAGTTGGGTTAAGGTAAAGTTATAACGAATCGGGTCGTTGCCACAAGTGTCAGAAGATGTATTTTTGTTTTTCATGTGTTTAATGGTTATCTTTTTTTTTCTTTTTTTGGTTGTAAATAATATGCTGATATATATATATATATATATATATATATATATATATATGGCAAGTAAAAAGATAAATATAAATAACTAATAATTAATTAAGAATCTGCAAATTACATGAAACACACTCATCGTACTAATTTTAAACACAGAAAAAATTAAGCTAAGATTTAAAGGATGTCACTCTTTAGCTCTCTTGTTCTAGTGCCTCTCTTGTTCTACTCTTTTTAAACTACATCGAGTTTTTTAAATGTATTGACTATTGAATTTATCATAACCGTTAATTACCATATTTAGCTAGATAAATGACCATATACAGTAGAAACTCTATAAATTAATAATGTCGGGACTTTGATATTTTATTAATTTATAGAGTTATTAATATATAGATTTTGACTAAAAATATTTTTCAAAAAAAGAAAAATCAATTGAACAAGAAGTTTTATTTATACGTATATTTTCTTAATTTTTTTCAAATGTTTCTATATTTACTTATTGTTCATATTTTCTCATACTTGCATATTATTTTATATTCCTTTTTTGCTTTAATTTTCATATATGTTTGATGTGTGAGAGATTCATATTTTAGTAGTTAGATATCTTAGGTATATATATATATATATATATAATAATTATTAATTTATGATATTATTGGGACCATATTTTACATAGGAGTTCAAAAAAAGTTATTATCTTATTATCTTATCGAATTGTGTCATATTTTACACCGGCCCAACTCGGGACCAAGAAATTTATTAATTTATCGTGTTTATTAATTTATCGAGTATTAATTTATAGAATTTCTACTGTAATTTGCTAATTTCATGAATTATTACCCATTTTAGCCCTTCTTATCTTTTCCACATATCGACATATTTTTGTTTACATTTTTGAATTTAATAGCTTTTGGTCATGTATTTCCCTTATTAACTAAACAAAACAATCGCATTAAAGTTTGAATGGTTGTGGAATGTTGAATATAAAACAACATCGTTCATATTTTTTCGGTAAAAATACATCCTACAATCTATCTATTCTAATATTATAAGGTTACCTTCCTTCACATCATTGAGATATTGACATGCGTCTTCCTATAATTATGACATCTTCATTCTAAATATCTTTCATTTTCTCTACATTTATAATTCAATATTTTAGATCATTAAATATATACATCTAAGAGTAAACAAATATTTAAATTGAAATCATATATATTTATTTTTTTATTTAAAGGATTTATCCTATTTAAAAATGTTATCATGTGTTTATAAGTTAAAAAGTTGATGAAAACTGTTAAGAGTGTAAATAAAAATTATCTACACTTTATTAATTATATTCGCATTTAGTTTTCATTGTATTTTATAAAATAAGAATTAAAATGTTAATATACTCTTATAAAGAATTATTATTATATATATATATATATTGGGCATTTTTTTGATAAAATATTTATTATTGCAGTTCAATTTTTTTAAAACAAAATAAATATTTATTATACCAGTCAGTCACATACATAAATAGAAGGAGGAAAAAGTAGAAATTGATAAAATACACATGGTCGATGTAGCAATGTATCAACCAATTGAGTTTGAGTCTAGAGTCTTGTCTTTCTTTTTCTCTAAATCATTCGAAATCAAATCTCGTGTTTTTAATGATCATTCAAAAGCTGATAGCACTTTGGTTTTGCTTGTAGCTCTTTCATAAGAGTATGAAGTACGGGATGCCTATTGCTCTTTACGGTTCTTTATAGAGACGAAAAGTTTGTAAAATAGTTGTCAAGATTTTTCCTCATCATTTGATTGCATATTTTTAACTTTAGAATCATTGTCAAGTTTCTCTTATTAGTTATTAACAATCCTTACAAACTACTCATTTCGTCCTTCATCAGTGTTCAACATAGGAAAAAATTAAATAAACTGCTCAAATATTACCCTTCATTTTTAAACCACACGACTGATGTGATTTTTGTTGCCAAGAAACATCACAATCATAAACACACATAAGTACAAATTTTCATTTTCATCTTCCCTACTTACATAATTTTTTTGATATATGTTACATATTGAAGAAAAAAGAACCTCTTAAGTGGTTCTAAAAAAGAGTCAACTTTTGCGACTGTGCCGGTGCGCCGGTGCCGTCCTTTTCTCGTGTTCATTTTGACAGCTACAAGGAAACCAAAACTCTTTAAAATTTACAAACGAGTCCCTCCATTTACCATTTCGTTATACTTGGCCAAAGACTCCAGTCTCTGCAGTCTCATCTCTTCATTGAACTTTTTAATAAACGCTTCCACACGCCGATTCAGCTCTTCCTGCCCCGGTGACGCCTCGCGTTTCAGACGCGTTTTCTGCGTCTCTTCCGTAGGGGTATTTACGTCATTCAAGTTCTCGGACTTGGTCAACTCCCCCTTCTCCGATGAGTTTTGGACGTGAGTCCTTTCTTGCCACGTGTCGGATTTAGTCAAGTGCTTGGTTAACGGCGCCGAACGTCCTTCCGTTATCTTCTTCCACGTCGTCTCCAGCGTGTCTTGCCTCCTCGGTGGCTTTGACACTCGCAACGCCGACTTTTTATTTCCACCACCACCTGCACAAATCACTTAAAAATTACGATTTTTGCCACTCACAAATTCGAATTTTCCGAGCAACATTCCCGGAAAATTCAGGTTTAATCTGCGCGATTCGTCGATATATATACCTTCTGGACTGGCTTTGAGCGATTTTGACTGGCCGAATCTCGGCGGTTTCCTCGAATGCTTTCGAATCGTAATCTCCGGCGAATCGCTGCTCGGTATTATTGGCTTCTCCGTCTCTGTCTGCCGATCTTCTCCTTTATCGACTGTCGTCAGCTTATCATCACTGACGACTTCGGTAATTTTCCTGACATCTTCCACCGGTGGATAAACCGGCGCATCATTCGCCACAAATCCGGTATAATCAGAAGCGACATGAACCAGGTTTAAATAACCGGTGTCGATATCAGTAGGTACCGGTACTACAGTTATCGGCGTAACTACCTCGGAGAAACCAGAATCAGAAGACGATTTATGCGTGAGCTTAGATGTAGCTAAGATGGAGACGATGATACAGTTGATGACTAAATAAAGATACGGCGGTTTAAGGAGGAAGACGGTGTTATCGTAAATGATCGGGAAGCAAGACGCGACCAAATGCGAAACCGAAGGAACGGTGAGAATCACCGCCGTCGCGAGAGAGAAAACGCCGGCGATGATTACGGTGGCTGTGGTTTTAAAGGAAGAGGTTGGGAGAAGAATAGGCATTGTGGAGAAGAAGAATGATCTCATTTGCCTTGGGAATCGCTTTTGAATTTAATTTTAGTTCGGTGGTGGTTCTTATCTACAAGAAGAAGCTTGAGGTGTGAGTGTATTTATATTAAAAATTAAAATGAAATGTTTTAAAATGTGGTCCTTATTGTGTGGGCTTTTCACAGAATCACAAGTGGGACCGCTCTATAAGGTACGGTGATGGAGGGTTTATTTGAGTGACACGTGGCTGTTTATAGGTTTCATGCTTTCGTTTGAAGTTACCTATAGACATAAACATACAACAAGATTTGACAATTAAGAGTAATAATTTATGCATTGAGAGATTTAAGAGAATTGAGATACGATAATCTATTACGTACGTGTACCAGGTCGTACCGTTGATTTTTTCTTCTCACTTTGCAACAGATAGTTTACGTGATTAACTAAGTGTCATTAGCTAATTAGCTGAAAAGAAAACTAAAGACAAAATCTAGAGATTATAGGTTTGAGATGGGACTATATTATTATTATATTATATGCTTTGTTCTTCGATTTAGGCTTACGATTTAGCTCAGAACTTTATAATAATCCCAAAATAGAAGTTTAGTTGATTGAGTCTTCGCACGATACATAGTCATACATTGAGTCCGACTAGTTAATGATACAAAACAGAAAGAATGGTAAACTTAGGGATCTCTTGTTGTAATGATATCTATTTACTAATCACACCTTTTTTTACTCATCGTACCTTTTAAAATAGTAAATTCAAACATGTATTTTAGATGAAAACTAATAATCTTGATTTTTAATTTCTTACCTTAAAATTGTATATTTTAAAAAAATCACTGCGGTTAAGAAAGAGGGAGAACATATAATAAAAACAGAAACTGTTGAGTTATGATTTTTAGGTAATGTAGGCCATGTTTATTGACATTGTAAATTTAATACTTGAAATTCAGAGTGAGAATGCGAATTATGATATATGTGAACAATGGTTTAGATAAGGACATGCATATCTCTAAAATTAAAATAATTGAGATGGATGCATACGTTCATTTTGTTTTCATAAGACTGCGTATGCATATACTAACAGTAGATATGATTTGACAATTCAAACCCATGAAAGATATATATCGTATTACGGGTCAACAAGCTCAACAAAATTCTACCGACCATTTTTGGATGTTTGTGCTTGATACTGATTGATCTTCATCATTTTAAATACATAAATAGACTTAAACTTCTGTCCAAAGCTCGGTTCAAGACCGACATGGTATTTTGTTTTTAATAACCAAATGCTTAAGCTAAAGTTGGACGTGGCCTCGTGTGTTGTTATGTTAGTAACATATAATAATGTTTGCATTAGATCAAGGTCGATAGACATAAGGCAACAAAATGTAAGAAACTAAAAAAACGTACATAACAACTTAATTAGAAGATCTAACTTTGATGAAACATGGATTTGAAGAAATGATATATACAAATTTTACTTTATATAATCATTTTTTTTCGCATTTGCCAACATTCCAAAAATTTAGTAAAATACGAAATAGTTGAAATTATTGAACTAAATCGTGTAAAATTAGGTGAAATGTTTTTAAGAATCAATTATTCATGTCTCAAATCTTATCAACAACTGAATTGGTTCACTTGACGACATATTGTAAAGAAGAAAAAAAGGCAAAGGAAGGTTGGCGAGAGGGAGGTACAAAAATTTGTGGTGAAGGAGGAGAATGAGCTATAAGCCATTTGACCAAAGCCCGACAATGCCAAACTCAAACCTTTTAGACGCATAGACAGCCGTCCATAACAAGTTTAACATCAACACGTCGCCTTTATTGATCTTACCAATAAAGGTGGATAATTGTTGTTTGAAAGGGTTTTCGAACCGTTTCTTTGTTTTTGCTTAATTCCAAAAAATCGTACGTCTCAAACTTTATATACGCAAAAAAAAGTATTATTATAACTCAATAGACTTACGTTACATGTTTGTTTAATAAGTAGCTATAAACTTCGAATGTTTGTTTGCGTCTTACGTTAATGTTATACTACCAGTAGTATAACAGTTATAGTAGTAAGTTTGTTCCTTTTAAAAAAAACAAACCTCCTCCAAATTTAGTGTTTTACTTAAAATTCATTTGTGAATTGTACAACAAAAACATAATGCAAAAAGAGCATTTTAACAAAAGAAAAAATCTCTTTAACAAAAAATCTCTTTAACAAAAAAAACTCCTTATTAAAAACAAAAGAAAAACATAATGCAAACGGAAAGATAAATTATTCTTGCATATACAAAAACATTTAAGGAAAGATTAAATAATTTTAATTTTTAAAATTGTGATGTTTTTGTTTACAGTAATTCTAATATTCTATAACACAAAAGCTTACGTCGACAAAACTATCAAGATAATCTAGTGTCAAATTTTTACAAACATATAATTAAATATTTAAAGTGAATATATTGATTACTAGATTGTGGGTTTAATTAATTAACATCAGGATAAACGGTTTAACAGAAGTTCATTTCTCTATTTGAATATATATAAATAGGGTTTTCTTATAAATATTTTTTAAAGATTACATAAAAATATCAAACAAAATATAATTACTCTTAAAAGTCAGTAATATAATATAGAGAATACAAAAAAAATATCTAAGTAAAATAAGATTGAGAATAGACCTTCGCGACGCTTCTTCTGCTTGAAGATAAAAATGATTGAGTTTGTGAAAGTTAGAAGATTCACTGAATGTTTCCAAGAATCTAAAACGAAGCAGAGAAGAGGAAGAGGAGACGATGAGTTTCGGTGTTTAATTTTCAGACGTAAAAGAGGAGAGAGAGGGGAAGAGGAGAGAATTTAGGAGATTTTTTAGAACTGTCACGTGGCCATCTCTCCCGCGCTGACGTGGCGGTCAGCTGGAGAGATGGCCAACTTTTATACTCCCTCCGTTTCCTTTTATTTGTCATTCTAGAGATTTTCACACATATTAAGAAACTCATTAAATTTGCTATTTACCCTTATTTAATACTTAGTTTTTTTTATAAGAATAATCAATAAGCTAAAATAATGAGGATAAAACAGAAAAATATATAATTAATCTACATTGGAAACACAAAACGACAAGTAATATGAAAAAAAAATTCTCTCTAGAATGACAAGTAATATGAAACGAGGGAGTAGTATAGAACTAGAATACTGTGGGATAAAATAATTATGAAGAAATTAAATTAATATAGTTTTAGTTAAAAATCTGGTCTAATTATTCAATGGAAATTTTGGAATTTATTTCTATATATTATGTTATTGTTTTGTAAGTCATGTGTTTCATCCATGATATAATTATAAATAATGTTTAATAGCTTAAATAAAAAAAATAGTATAGCTACAATTATTATATGAAATCCGAGATTTGTTTGTGTATATTTAAATTTGAATAAAAATGTGTTTAATCTATATAATAGTTTCAAATAAACAGTTTTATTTTTTAGTTTAATAACAACTAAATCATATATATTACCATATGAATTTTGTGATATATTGACTTTAGTTTGATATGTAAATTGTAAAATGTAACTAAATATTTTCCATGCTTACTGATTTTAAAGTAAAAACAAAAACGAATTTAATTGTAATATTTAACAGTAGATTTTTAAAAATCATTATTTTTGGAAATTTTATAAATATGTTTGGTTATAAAAATTAGAATATTCAAAATATGTAATAACGAAAAATTGTGTTTGGTAATTGGTGTAGAAGAAATAAATAAATAAAAAATAAAAAAAAACAGACAAAAATTGAATGGCATCGATAAAATTAGTCTCCAATGTTCCTGTTTTAATAGCCAGTACATAATGATTTGAATTGACATGGAAAAATCACTTCTTTTTATCTCTTCTCAGGAATTACATCTATTACTCTCTTTCAGTAATTGAGTAAATCAAAGCTCAAACTACAACACAGAAAGGAAAAAAAAAACTGTTTAACAGATGATTGTATATATTTTTAGTACTTCAAATTTAAACAAGGCAAATTCAGAAAAGTCTCTCTCTCTCTCTTGATCAATGTTTTGTGAACATTCCATCCATCAAGGAAGAGAAATCAAAGTCTTTGCCTGATTGAGAAGACGGTGTGTTGCTCGTTGGTTGCGCCGCCGCCGTTGATGAGCTTGGGGTCATACCATTTGCCCCGGAATTAACTTGCCCCGTCGTGTAGAAACTGCATTGGTAACAAAACAGAAAACAACCAAAAGATTATCAGATGATGAAACTGTATACTTCTTTGTTTTTCGTATCTTCACAGATGATACAAACAGAAAGCAGTTTTATTTACATACCTTGGATATTGAAGAGTGTTCTCTTGCGGTTGCGCGGGTCTCATGTTCATGTTTGCGTTCATGTTCTAACAGAGAGCAAGAATTGGTGAGACTTTTGCAAGAACTTGGTCAATGGTGATCACGCTAGTAAAGAAAAAAGGTAAAATGTTGATCTTACTTGCATAAGTTTATGGAGATCAGCTTGACCACCTACAGGGTTAGTCATTCCGGGGATCTGGTAGCCAGTGTTCGACCAATTGGCAGACGCTAAGTTGAGAGCATTAGCTACAGCTTGTTGTTGTTGATTCACGCCGTTTGGAGTGGCTCCTCCTGCAGCTTTTGCTGCAGCCATGTAAAGAGCTTGCTGCTGAGCAAGCATAGCAACCTGTTGCTGATGCATGGCAAAAGGCGACACTATATTCGTCTGTAACCAAATGGAACACACAAGAGTTATTATATATTACTTGACTTTGGTCCCGCAATTCCAAATGTTTAGTTATAACAAGAGTTATGTTTGTAACTTGCAAGTTAAAATTTAACCCATACAGAAAGGAAAGTTGGTAGATCCAACAAAGAAGTAAATCTGACAAGAGTAGGCTTAAAGAGTTTACCTTCTCAAATAGGCTCATGATATCGCCTTTCACATCTTTCTGTGGTGCTTGATGGAATGTTAAATTAGGTGTGTCTTTAAACAAATCCTCAATCCCAGTAGCTGGAGGAGAACTGCTCTCATCAGGTTTCGCTGTGACAGTTTTCTCTGCCGCTTGACCACTTCCAGCCGCTACAATTTCAGGGTACAGAGATTATAATATATTAGCATTTTCTAGCGAAGAGTCACATAAAGTTTACGAGGATATGAAGAAAGTGATACGATGACCATGATTAAGTCATGCACATGCTAGATAGAGACGTACACTGAAAGCCAGCCCATGAGTTATCATCAGCAGGAGCTGCCTCTGAGGTATTTGCAGTTGGCTCATCCATTGATAGCATGTTGAAGAGGTCAGTAGCAAAGTCCACCTTTGGAGGATCTGGTGCTGGTGCAACATTTACTGCTGGTTTCGTCGTCTCCACGGGAGCAGCTGCAGGTTCTATTTTCTGTTGTGGCTTTATAACCTATTATTTTGTAGCACCACGTATCAGATAAACCAGCCTTTGGATACTTTTAGAAAGACTGAGTAATTCAGGCTTTGAAATATTATGATGCCTAGCAACAAAGTTATCTACAACACAAGCTTTACTTTTGATATCATAAGGTTATAAAATAAGATCTTGGCATGGAGATTCTTGATGATTATGGGTAACTGAAGGCACTGAATAATTTAGTAACACATATCGTCTGGGTGGTATGTTTGGTACCTGATCAGGTCCTTGGGGCGGCACGGGAAGTCTTATCCTCGTTGCAGCAGTACTATTTCTTGCTCTAGATGCTTGGATAGTTTTCTTCTCCTCAAACAAATTTACAGGGCTGCTACTGTGCCCATGCTCATATCCAGGCCCACTTCTCTCCACAGACCTCCGCCGCTCCTGCTCGAATCTTGGGGGTGATCTAGCCTTTTCACCTCTAGCAACCCATCTCTTCTCTTCATACCTAGAAAAGTCAAATGTCACAAGAATGAATTCAGTGTCCATATCAATAGCAAGATAAAAACTTCATTAAGGTGGAAACTAACTGAGAAGTTTGTAAACTGAGAAGGGAGGCGCTTACTTTGCACGTATGAAATTCTCAATTCCAACTCTATCATAGTTTGGGGGTAGCTCAGCTTCCCAGTAACTATTTGCTTTGTCATTTCCCATTGCTGCATGCAAATTCAAGATTATAAACTTCACATGGCGAAACCAATCCTATCTAAAAATGAACCAGCAATAGGGTACTGAGTTCGAAAGACACATTAAGTTCGAAAGACACTTACACTGAATAAATGCAACCTGCTCGGGGAGCCATGTGTCCAAAGTGGCAGATCGAACCTGAAGTCATCATCCCAAACTCAGATATTTTGCTAGAACAAGTAGCTTATGGTTCTAAGGTTAACATCTACTTGACAAGAATTGCTTGAAGTTCATGTATAAACTGGATAGTTGACATTTTGTCTAGTTGAGGAAAGGGCATAGATTTTTGATGCATTCATGTCAGACTTTTCAGCTACCGAAGTAACTCTCAGATGGAAAAAAACAAGATGAAATTGCAAATATAGAAAACTAGCAGAAGACCAAATTGACAGTTTGTGCACAGAACTCGAGCCAAATGGAACTGAGGTACTCATCGAACTAATATCTGAGAATTTTTTTTCTGATAGAAATGCAGCATTAAGAAAACAGATGTATAAAGGAGACTACCTTTGATATGTGTACTCCGAGACTCCTGTGAATTCCAGAACATTGCATGCAGATAAAAATACCTAAATTAACACTAGCCCATCTTGGACCCCTGCAAAGAAAATGGAATAGTTTTAGCCATAAATATATAATTGAACCAAGCATAATGCTGATAACTCGACATCTGCTACAAAACCATACTTTGTTTTGCAGTCAGCACATTCTCTGTTTTCTGGATGTTTAAGAAGCCCTTCAAGAATCTGCAAAGAAGCAAACACCAAAACCAAAGGAATAGTCAAGCAACAGACTAATACCAATGAAATAAATCGTAAATGGCTAATCATAAAGAAGAATCTACACCAACAGAATTGACATTTTCAACAAACCAAAATGAATCAAAGTTTCTCATAGAAGCCTCAAGTAGCAGATCTGATCATCAAGATAAGTTTCTTCAATGAACACCGAATTTCTCAGGACCTGACATGAACATGATGCTTCAAACCTATAATCACCAACCCCACAAAGCTATCCCAAACTAAAACCTTTTGATTCCTTATTTCGTTTCGTTCAAAAACAAGCAATACAACACGAATTTTCTAAAGCAAAAACTAACTAAACGAGATCGTGATTAAGAGAAGAAATGTTTCTATAGGGAAAATTCAATAGGCCTACGTTGATAGAACAATCATAAAACCCGATCGTGATCAATTATCATCCTATAGAGCCAAAATCGAAATGGATAATCTGATGGAAAATGATCCTAGCTCAAATCGATCAGAAGACGGACGATCGACGACGATACGAAAACATCTCACCTAACTAAAGGACACGGACCAAAATGATGAACTAAACACAGATCCAATCGAATTAAGATCGTCCAGAATCCATGATTAATCATCGATCGTCGGCAAGCAAAATCTCATATATGACAACAAATCCGCATAGCTCGGAAGGAAAAAAGAAAAATCTGAGATTCGGGAAGAGAGACCTTTCTATGCCGGGCATTAAGCTCCTTAGAGACGTTGGCTTTCTCGTTCATGGTTGGATAAATCAAAGATGAAGAGTAGGATTATCGGAGAAGAATCGGGCAAAGAGGAGGAAAAGGAGCTGAAGAAAAAAATCTGGGGGAGACGACAAGGTCAAAACGGTCTTTTCCGCCTTCAGCGCTCTCTCTCTCTCTCTTCAATCTCTCTCTCCTCTTCCTCTCTCTCTCTATATCGAAAAATCCTTTGCAGAGCGAGCGACCAAGAGAGAGAGAGAGAAACAAAGATGGGGTCAATACTTTTTGGACCGTTCAGATTATGGCTCTGGTTTATAACCCGGTTTTGTTTCCAATTTCAAAATTGAAAATTCGTTCGGTATAGTTGCGTTTTCGGTTTTTGCTCTGAATAAATTGAAGATGTTTCTATTTTCCGGTTCACTCGTAAAATTACACATGAAAACCTGTGAAATGTAAAAATTACGATTGATTATTATCTTTCATGTCAGGGAAATGAATATACAATTTACTACTGCATGATTTGTAAGTGGAATTTGACTATTCAAAGCACTAGCTTGGTTTTAATTGATTTTTTTCCCCGGTTAAGTGGTTTTCCTCTTGGTCATTTAAGATAGAGATTAGATTGGTGGAAAAATAATCACATGGCCATCTCATCTGTTATGTCTGTTTCCACTTTGGAGTTGTTGTATTGATTCCAATTTCTTTGTTTTATTTTATTTGATGCTTTGGGGCATATTTTATTTTGTAAGATTTCATTTCATGTTTGTATTCCAACCAAAACACGATTCACATTTTAAACAATTATAATATCCCAATGATTCCTAGAATTCAATATGACATTGGTTGTCACTGCGAACAAATCCCAACGTTCGCAAATTGAAGAATATCTTATCTACTTAAACTTATTTATATATGTATCAATTTGTGACGCCATAATTTATTATCATGCCCGTTAAATATATACTACAAGCTAGTAACATTAAAACCAAAGTTATAGTTCATTGGACATTTATGATTGCAAAGTAACATGAAGTGATTTTGAATCTGTTCATAAATAATCATGTACTTCTACATTATATGCTAAATAAAAATATATACAAGATGCTTGAATGAGTAAAATTTAAATAGGTAGTATATATTTCACACATAGAAATATCATGTTAGAATACAAAAAGGGAAACCACAACAAGAGAAACAAATACTATCGGTTAAAGAAAACTTAGGAATGATGACCGCTTAAGCTTATCCCAGTTATACGACTTTCACTTTTATCTACTCACACTTTTTATATCTGCCCAATTTCACCCAATCTTTTCCCCAAATTAATAAAAAATGAAATTACAATTAATTCATCAAATTGTGTTTTAGACAGATCATGTTTTGAGGAGAAATATGCATAAATTAATTTGTTTGAAAGGGAGGATGAAATAAGCATAGCTTGTTGAATTAGGAGGATGGGGATGAGCGCAGTCAATCCAAGATTTTTCAAAATGTCTAACACATAAATAGCTTATTTATATCCAAAACATAGTTTGGTATAGACCCGACTAATTTTCAAGATTTACTTCACAACATACGACTTTTACTTGATACACGACTTGTTTAGTATAAATGTATAATAAAATTTTATTAATCAAAACAAAATAATAGGATGATATATTTATGTTAGTGGAATATTTTTGTTTTTTCATTGGACAAAATATAATACTCCAGCATCAACCGAAAACTATAACCATCACCTAAAAGGATAGAGGATCAAAAGAAAATAACACATACAATCTCAAACTAAACTAACAATTATGTGGGATAAGATCCAGAATCAAATAGATGTTTTAACCAAAACAAGGTAGCTCATAGCCACATACATTGCCAGCAATGGTCGGACTTGGCTCCATGATGTCCTAACTGCTGAACCTTCTCATTTGGATCCGGGATAACACTACCAATTTGATTTTGTCATTGAAAGTAACCCCAAAAATCGATTTCAAAACAAGAGAATGTACTATGAAAGAAGCTAAACTGGTGGTTTCGTTATTCCACTTATAAGTTATTTTGGTTCAGCTAAGAAAAATGATTTTATTGAAACACAAAATCAACATAATTTCAAAATGTGTCTTTTAGGATCTATACCATTTTTTATATCAAAATATGTCTTTTAGGGTCTATACCAAATTATATTGTTGTTATATTTAGACAAGTATGTGCTAGATAATTTGAAAAACCTTGGGTTGACTGGAGTCAGTAGTCACCACCCCCTCCCCCCGCCCTCCTCCCCCTCCATCCCTTCAAACAAAATATGTATTTTCCTCTAAAACGTGATCTGTCTAAAACGTAATTTGATATGAATTGATCGTGATTTCAATTTTAATTGAATTAGAGGAATATACATAAATTTAAAGATTAGGTGGAATTGGACAAATATATAAATATGGATGGATAGAGGTGAAAGTCGTATAGTAGAGGGGGACTTATTTCAACCCGAAAACATATGAATTGAAAATGGGTTTACGGTTTTAATTAATTCTTCGAGATTTTATTTTATTTTTATTCTTATTTTATTTTTCTTAGAGATTTTATACCATAAGAGTTAGATAACGAATACAGAGTGAATTCTCTCGATAAATAGAACGATAAGAAGATATCCTTCATTCACTCTGAGTCTACCAAATTTTTTTCACTAATGTCTTCTCCAAACTCCTCACCTAAACCTGACCAGAAACTTAAAACCACTATTGTGGCCATGGAGGAGCAGCGGACAATTAACAATCCGAATCAAGGGTCACCTCAAGAGGTTTTGTCTGAAAGTACGATGATTGCGAGGGGTAGTTCCGGATTGGGTGTTGTCCGAATAAACACAAACAAGATGAAGAAATATCCACCAAAGAAGAATAACAACTTCTACTTTTGCGACTACTGCGATAGAGTGTTTACAAGCGGTAACGCCCTAGGTGGTCATCAAGGAATCCACAAGCAAGAATCAGAGTTGAGGAGGCAGTATGAGTATGAGTATGAGATGAGACGAAAACACGTTTTAATGAAGCCTTGTATCCCTTACGTGGATAACAGGCTTTTTGATCAGTTAAAAATTGCTTTATCAAATGAGAAGCATCTTGGGATCTCTACTGGCCCATTTGACTCCTTACAAGGTGACCGCAGCGGCGGCGTTTCCCCATCGTTCATGTCCGAGAGCTATTCAGTGACTCCATACCGTTCCGTCAACAGACACCCACATAGCCCACATGCTTTATCACTTGAGCTCTCTCTTGCTCCGCCATCGCATCCCATAGGAAGCAGCATGAACAACAACAACAACGACATCGCGTACCGTTCTTCCACCGAGAGCTATAGATCACAAGGTGCTTTATCAATTACAACAATACCGGACTTGAACATGCCATTGACGCTTCCTTCTCCTCCACGCGCAAATCTTTCAAACAATGAGAACGTTTCAGGCTCTAGTTACTTAGAGATGCTCATCTCAAAGGGGAAAACAAAATCGGGGATTTTTGAAGATGATGACAATACCAAGCGGTTTTAGTTCAAACTGAAAAAGATCTGATAGTTCTTCTTTTTTTCAGTTTTCTTTGCAATTTTTAGTGTTTGGCTTTCTCTTTTTTTTTTTTTTTTTTTTTTTCCCCTTGTTCCCTTGTTGTCTTTCAAATGTTGCTTTTAGACTTTTAGTTAATGTTTCGATAAATTCGTGAATCCCTTTCATTTTTAAATGCTATATTGTTATAAAATTCTGCAATTTTAAAAGTTATATGGTCTAACTCTAGACTGATCTTGATATTCAAAGGCGAACTTTTAAATCCTTTGTTGAAAGACATCAACTCTATTGACTCATGACTGTTTTCTTTTTTGTCAACACTCAAGACTGGTATTTTACTATTTCAATAGAAAAAAATGAGAGAGAAAGGAAAATTGAAAAGAAAGGTAAAAATGAGTGGAAAGAAATTTTCAAAACAGGTTTTAAACTTTTAATAGTGGAAAAAAAATTTCTTTCTTCTTGTTGACATTTCCCAGCTAAGCAGACTTATTTTTACTATCTGTAATAAAAAAATTCTGATAAAGGGTTTTACTATCTATCTGTAATAATGATAATTTTTTTTGTTGAAAATAAATTAATCATTTTTATAGTTTATTTGTTTCTGATAAGAGATGGAAAATCTTGTTTTCTTTTAACAGATGAGCTTTTTTTCTTAAGCCTAAAGAAAACACGATTGACTACGAAGTCCAAAAAGAAATAGCAAATCTTGCTTTTAGTTATGTGTTTAGGTCAATTGTCGTCGCGGGGATAGCTCAGTTGGGAGAGCGTCAGACTGAAGATCTGAAGGTCGCGTGTTCGATCCACGCTCACCGCATTACTTTTTCGTCTTTTTTGAAACGTTCCGTACGACATCGATTCGTTTGAGATGTTGGGCCGCATGTTTCTTTGGTCTTCTTGACTCTTCATTTTATTAAAGCCTTTTTCTTAATTACCTGTTCAGTTGTTCTTCTCTTTTTACAACTTCTGATCTATTGTATTTTTCAAAGTTTCATGACTGTAATTTTGGAGATATTTATATCAAATGTGTTTAAAAAAAAAATTCTAGAATCATAAACTTTTCTAAATCATTCTTGAATGTATATTTTTCTCATGACTTTATTAAGATATATACATGAATGAAATTATAATAAGTTTGTATTAATTTAATCGTACATCTTTTTTTGAACTAAAGCTTAATTTAATCGTATATCTTGAAACTCAAATTTTACAAGGAAATGATGCGTGATGGCTTTAGAATTGTCAGATATTAAACCCACTATTTGATAGATCCGTTGGAAATTATGCAGTTGAAGAATAAACCCCTGTCTATGTTTTTTTTTGTTTCTATGCATTTAACAGTAAACAAAGGTCAGAAAACATCAAAAAGTGATAGTAAACCACAAAATTACACAAATATATCATGCATAAGTGTAGTCTAATCGAAAAACATAAACATATGAGTAATGAGTTTGCAAATATTTATTTGATTACCTTCTGACTTTAGAAAGAGAGAATTAGGAAGGAAAGCCTAACATGATTCAGTCTCTACTACGATACCAAATTACCAATCAATATGAGAATATAACAAAACATAAAACTTTGAACCCCTTACTCCGGCTTCAGAAGGGCTTTCGTCAATTTTTTGATTGTATCATCTTTTAAACCCTTCAAGACCATTATCTTTTAAATCCTTCAAGAATATTTCGTCAATTATTATTTTGCAATTGTGGCAAACTGGCAATGAACTAAAAATAATTTATTAAATTTTGATGGATAAATTACGAAGCGAACATCAAGATTGTGATGTCAAATAGGAGAAGCTACCTTTAACAAAAAAAAAAAATAGGAGAAGCAGAGAAGCTACATTTTGAATTTCATATATAATAATTTCATGGCAGGACCGAACGTACGAAACAATCATCCAAGTTTATTGTTTACGTGTCAATCCTATATAAGTCGTCATAATTACGTAATGAGCAACGAGAGTGACCTATTATGTGATCGAAGTATCGAACAAAGCAATTTAGTAATCGTTAAACCATTTTCTTAGGCAAACATCTAATTCAAATCCAGAAGAAAAGAAAACAAACTATTTTACTTTAACAACCAAGATTCTTTTGAAAGCCATGGATGCAAGTCGATTCTGCATGGACACCATAAATATCAGTATCATAAAAGACAATCAACCATAATCCAGTGCGAAAGGAAATTCTATATAAATCCCACAAAGACACAAAAGGACAAATCGATTGACTATATATATTGAGTTGGCCTTTCATGATTGTTAAACAAATCGAATATGGAATTTGATATGATTCTTTTGGTATATCAAGAAAAAAAAAAAAGAATTAAATATTCGGATTTATCATATATACATTACAAAGATAATCTTAAAACGATGCATAAATAGGAGAAGAAGCAATACTTTTACTTTGAAACGAAGTCGAAAAACATTTAAGTGCAATTGTTGATTGTGTCACCGCGAAGTTCGTCGTCCAAACTAACTCCAAGGGGACAAAAGGTCTGCAACTTGTATCTCAATAATTAATTAACATAGTTAATTAATAGCAACTTTTTTACGCAAACATTTGAATTTCACCCCTATAAATTCACAACCAACAATTTAACCTTCACCATCACCAAAAATCTTCAGCCCCCTCCTTCTGATCTAATCGAATTACAAAAGACACAAAAGATGGAAATCCCAAAAACCCTTTTGCTAGTGATTTCTCTGGTGGCTGCAACTAGTTTCTTGCAAGCCAAGGCAGTTTCAGTTTCCTGTAGCAACCCTTACACTCGATGTTACCGCAGCTACATTGAATGTCCGGAGGAATGTCCAAGCACAACCGCTATGAACTCCAACAACAAAGTTTGCTACGCCGATTGCGATAGACCTACTTGCAAATCCCAATGCCGCAGTAAGCTTTCTCGATACCTTGTCCTATACGTTTTCACTTTTCACACATGTTTTTGTGCACTATATATAGTAATGAATCATATGTTTTTTTTCTTCATTTTTTGTATAGTGCGGAAACCAAATTGCAACAGACCAGGATCAGCTTGTTATGACCCGAGGTTTCATTGGAGGAGACGGCATTGTGTTCTACTTCCATGGAAAGAGGAAGAGTTTAGCCTTGTCTCTGACTCTGACCTTCAAATCAATGGTAGGTTCATTGGTCACAAACCCGCTGGTCGTGCCAGAGACTTCACATGGATCCAAGCCCTCGGATTCCTCTTCAACTCCCACAAATTCTCTCTTGAAGCCGCTAAATCCGCGACGTGGGACAACAAAATCGACCATCTTAAATTCAGCTTCGATGGCCAAGATTTATCTGTCCCGGAAGAAATACTCTCTACTTGGTTAGTATTTAGTATTCGATCGATACAAAACTCAGTTCGTAAAATATGTTTTTCCAAGGTTCTTGAAACCTAAAAATGTTTTCTTTTAAAACAGGTACTCACCAAACAAAGACATTAAGATCGAGAGAGTGACTACGAGAAACAGCGTGATCGTGACAATCAAAGACAAAGCTGAAATCATGATCAATGTGGTTCCAGTGACGAAAGAAGACGACAGGATCCACAGCTACAAAGTCCCATCAGATGACTGTTTTGCTCATCTCGAGGTCCAGTTCAGATTCTTCAACCTTTCACCTAAGGTCGATGGAATCTTGGGACGAACCTACAAACCAGATTTCCAGAACCCGGCTAAGCCTGGAGTCGCAATGCCCGTGCTTGGTGGCAGGGCCGGCCCTGAGGCAAGCCAAGTGAGCCTTTTGGCTTGCCCCCAAATTCTTTTTAAAGAAATATATATTAATTTTGGCCCCAAAATTTTTAAAAATCGATTTTTGGCCCCTAAATTTTTCAAATCTTATTAAATTTTTCTGGCCTCCCATTTTTCAGGGCCGGCCCTGCTTGGTGGTGAGGACAGCTTCAAGACTTCTTCTCTCCTCACCAGTGACTGTAAAACTTGCATTTTCTCTGAATCACTAGAAGATATGGATATTGTTAAGTCAGACACTGACCATGCAACTTTGGATTGTACACGTCGAGCCTCTTCTGGATACGGAATCGTCTGCAGGAAGTAAAGAACAATATATATGCTTAAAAAGAATAATAATGGCAGAGAGTTGTAGCTTCTGCTGGAGGATATCCAAAGTATAATTGAAAAATAAAGAAGTTGTGTTTACGTACTACTTGCACTGGATTTGTTTATACATTATTAACGAGACAATATTTTCTTTTTTGTACTTGCAATGAATTTGTATTGTATCACTCATGACATATCTTGCCAGGAAACAAAAAGAGTAACCTCAAGAAGTCAAGATAGTTGATCTTTAAAGAAAACTATGAACTCAAAAGTAGTTTGTATGGTTTTAATTTACCCTTTGCGATTTTATACTTTAAAAGTAAAACAAACAATAATGAATCCTCTCAAGAAATATCATTTTCATTTCTCTGAATCTAACACAAAAGAGAAAATCATCACCCTAACTTCGACCTAAGATGTTCACACACACAAAAAAAAAAAAAAAAAAAAAAAAAAAAAAAAAAACATTTAATTAAGCTAAGTGTCCTTCAAACTCGTCAAAAGATTCCCTATGGATCTTTCCAGTGGAGTCATATGGCAAAGAGTAGTAGTTGTACATTCATCTGCATTCGTTTAAGGACGAAGATTGTTTTTTACATAGCTGGAAACAGCCGGAATGGTTTTTTTTTAAGGAAAATACACAATTCTTATCTAGCCTCGATAATAAAAAGAAGGAAATGTGGTAAAGCTGACTAAGACAAAGCTGGAATATGTAGGTACAACGTATATAAAACTATTAGAAAAGAAAAAATATTTTTCTTGGGTTATTAGTAGATATTTTATATTAACATATTAGTTAATAAAAATATCATATACATACAAGAAAAAAAAAACACCCATTTTTACAAAATAAATAGTAGTTTCAACGGTCACGAAGAAGTGCATCATTTTTTAATCTTTAGTTTGTAATTTAATTAGTGTGTATAATCTCGTAACATTTATGAATGGATAGAAAACTTTTCAAGTCATACAACGCAATTTGGTACGTCAGTAAGTGCATACAAAGCAGATTATAATCCGCTCCTGATTCATATTAAATAGGTCTAGATTCCGCTGATGATTAATATGGAAATGCAATCAATATTTGAAGAGAAAACTACGAATTCAAAGTCGATGTTCATCATTTTAGATTCTATACCATACGAAGGTAGTCAACAAAATATTAACCCTCTCGATATATAGGAGCGTCTTGCGTTGTTTGAATCCAACACACAAAAGAGAGTCCCCAACCAAATATCTTTCGCAAATCAATTATGTCTTCCTCAGACTCCGCAGCATCGCCTGACCAGAGCCTCAACACAATTGTTGTGGCCACGGAGGAGGTGACTGGGACAATGAACAGCAGCGGAGTCACTGGAGGAGAAACCACGACGGATCTGAACACCAACACCAGCGACGGTAGCCCACATGGTGTGGCATCACCTGATGTTCCTCCTCCTAGTCCAGCCAAGTCCACCGGAGACAGCAGCAACAACAGCAGCGGAGACAGTGGAGGAGGGATCTCGACGGATCTGAACGTGCCCTTGAGTCCTAGCAATCTCGATTCAGTCACTAGTGACGCTCCTCTTTCTCATGCTCCTCCTCCTCCAGCCACCAATCTTTCCAATGATGAGAATGTTGCGAGCTCTAGTTACTCGGAGAAGCCAAAGCGAAAACATGAAATCCGTCTTTTTGGGATCACGATAACTAAAGAGGTGGATGAAGATGAGGCTTCACCTGGAAGGACTTGAATCTAAGAGTTGGAGTCGTGATTCATGTTTTTGTTTGTTTGTTTTGAGTCTAGTATATGGCTATAGCCTTTCTTCACCACATTTCTTCTCTTTGAATTTGTCTTTTCTCTTTTATTCCTTGTTTTTTTTGAGATGTTATCTTTTGCGTTTAATGAATGTTTTGATTGACTCCTGAATCCCTTTCTTTTTGTTTCCTCAATGCTTAAATTATCTCATGATTGTCCTCAAAATTCTGAAAATGTCAAAAGTCATGGTCTAGATTAAAATACTCAAAGGCGAATTCCATCTTTCAAAGATTAAAGAGGTTCTGTGTTTTGTTTGAAATCCTTTGTTGAAAATCGAAAGTACATCAAAACTGTTCATTAGTTTGTTTATATGTAAATCATGAATATCATACGTAGAATTCTAATCGATTGCATAAGAAAATTGACAGACAACAATAACAAGTAGGAGAAATTTTAGGGATTCATCACTAGTCTCCCCATTTTGTATCAATTGGATCTAAGAGAAAAATGGATTCACGCTTTGATTTTGGATTAAATATGATTACGAATTTATGAAAGATTGAGTATGATAGTATTGAATATAAACTCTAACGCGATCTAGTCAACATGATAAGTTTACTATCATGGATTCTTGATTCATAATATCGAGTTAAGATTTCAAACCAAACAATTTCTGATTTGGTTTGCCATGAAAGTTCGAGAGAAAAAAAACTATGAGAGCTCATCTCACAGGGAAGAAAAAAGACAAAATTTGGGTGATTGAAGATGAGAAATTAAATATTAAGGCTAATCATCACAGTCTCCCCCATTTTGTGTCAATTGCATCTAAGAGAACAAATGGATTTACGCTTTTATTTGGGATTAATATGATAGTATTGGATATAAACTCTGGGTAGAGAGATCTGGTCAACATATAATTTGTTTACTATCCATGGGATTCATGAATCATGATTCATAATATGGAGTTAAAGTTTTCAAACCAAATTATTGTGATTTGGTTTGCCATGAAAGTTCGAGAGAAAAAAAAGCTATGAGAGCTCATCTCACAGGGAAGAAAAAAAAAAAACAAAATCTGGGGTGATTGAAGATCATGATGATGAGGATTAGCCTAGAAGAAGTTGAAGCTTAGAGTCGTAGTCGTGATTTATCTTTTTTCCTTTGAGTTTTTCAATTTTCTTTGTATTGGTTTAGTATTTGGCTTTCATTTTCGATCGAGGCCTTTCTTCACCTCATTCCTTGTCTATGAATCTATGCCTATATCTAATGATTGTTCTCAAAAGAAAGCATATAGAAGGCCTTGGAGTTTCAGATTCCGGTGGAACATAAACATCTAAACAGTTAAAATTTTAAAAGGTTGGCCGGTCGTTTCTACTTCATAGCATTTCGGAAGCTGCAACAACTTTAAAATGTTGGAAAAATTCATTAAGATCTTGTGTTAGATTATGATTTTAAGACTCCTGTATTAAATTATTACCGCTAAGAAACCCTAAGAAAGAGCCTCATTTACAGATTGTGTTATATCTTAAATAACAAACTTTGATTAAAAAAAAAATTCAAGAGAGAGAGAGAGAGATAGATCATGTATAGATTACATGGTCGAAGAGACAAAATTCGATTTGAGATTTGTGAGAAATGAAAATGGCACCTACCTATTTCTTTCTATTTGATTACTTTTCTTTCCTCCTATATGTCTGCCTACCTACTCATTTCCATATTATACATGCAAACAGATATACACAACATTTCTTTCTTTCTTTTATTTGTTTTCCTAATAAATCAATGGGAATAAATTTAATTTCTATATAAAAAGAAAAAAATTGACCTCTTTACAATCTAGAAACACATTTTCTATTTTTACATTTTTATTTCTTTCTACAAAAAAATATCATATCCCATTAAAATAAATTCGATTTTCAATTTTCTATGAGTTGTATTCTTGTAAGAGAAACTCTGTCATCTTTATATTATAATTGAGAAGTACATGAAAAATTTATGACAAAAAACTAATCTAATTATGAAGAGAAAATGTTTGGCAACAGATTTAATTAGGGTCAATTTAGTACATTGTAATGTTTGGATACAAGAATAAGAGGGAAAATGGAAAAAATTGTTTGGATACAAGAATAATAACTTAAAACAAACCGATGGTTTAGAAAACTTCCGTTTTCCAGTCTTAAAAATCTGCAAAAAGAAAACTTAACATAATCTAACGATAATACCAAATCAATAGAATATTCCGTTTTGGATTTTCGGATTTTTATAGACAAGTTCGGGTTTGGGTGAAAATCTGAGACCTAATTTTATAGAGATATAGAAATTGTTCGGGTTTCTTTGAAAATTTCTGTTCGGGTTGGGTTCGAGTTTTTTTTTTTCAGTTTAGGGTTTTCCGGATTTTTTGGATTTCGGGTTTTCGGGTTTAGATATATTAAAAAGTTTGAGTATTTTAAAATTTTGATTAGGGTATTTGGGTCGGGTTCCGGGTGAAAAAGTTTCCAAATTTTTTTTGTTCAGTTCAGGGTTTTCGGGATTTTTTATTTCGGTTTTCGGGTTTAGACATATTAAAAAAGTTTGATTTTTCAATTTTTTATTATGGTTTTTTTGTCGATTCGGATTTAGGGTTTAAATTTTCTACACAAAACCACAACGTCACACCGCACAAATGTGCGAGTACTCTACTAGTGTATTATAAATAACAAATTTTTATATAGGTCTCTGCATACTAAAATGTCAAATTCTTAAGAAATCACTTGTGACTATACATATGTCTCCCACAATAACGAATACAATCTTGGATTCTTGATTATGACTCCGACTCCGAGACTCAAATTCTCCTTTCAATTTTGAGCTTTATGTATGTTGCTTTATTTTCTTAATGGTTAGCTTACGTCATCAGAGCGGGGATAGCTCAGTTGGGAGAGCGTCAGACTGAAGATCTGAAGGTCGCGTGTTCGATCCACGCTCACCGCATTTTTTTCTCGACTTTTTGAAAACTTGTTTAAAAGCCCGCCTGTGTCTAATCTAACGACGTCGCTTCCTTAAGATGGGCCCTATACTCTTCGTTTCATTAAATTTAAGCCATTTTTTTTTAAGTTGGTTTTCCGAAGAGTTTCTAGTCCCGAGAACTAATCCTGCATTCGGTTACGCGTTATTCCATTGTTAAGGGCACGGTTAAATGATCAAGGCGATTTAAACCTGGGTGGTACTTACAGCAGTGAGTCCATTACCAATGAGCTCCATTACCAATGAGCTAAGACGACTTAGTTTAAGCCATATTATTAATTACTTCTATCTGAAATGTATTGTCAAAATTTTATTTTGTTTTTCATTTTTTGAGAAATATTTTTTCTCGCTTAAAATATCATAATATTATTATGAATATATGGAATATACAACTAGAAATATATTTGGAGACAATTTTAATATTGTAGGAAAAGCTGATTTTTTAAAAGTTCATGTACAATTATTTGAAAATTTCTCCATTATCAGTATTACTTATAATAAAAATATTGAAAGCCAGAAACATAGATAATAAGTAGCTGTAAACAGTCTGAAAATGTTTTTTAAGGAAAATACACACAGAATTTCTTCATTATCAGTATTACTTACTTACTAAAAATATTGAAAGCAAGAAACATAGAAAATAAGTAGCTGTAAACAGCCTGAAAATAGTTTTTAAGGAAAATACACAAGAATTTTATCTAGCCATCGATAAAAATAAGTAAATGTGGTAAAGCTGACTAAGACAAAGCTGGAATATGTAGGTACAGTACACTGTATATAAATTTAATAGAAAATATGTTACATTTTTCTTGGGTTATTAGTAGTTATCCAATATTAACAAAATTAATAAAAATATCATATACACATACAAGAAAAAACAACATCCATTTTTATAAAAGAACTAGTAGTTTGCAACTGTCACGAAAAAGCGCATCATTTTTGAATCTTTAGTTTGTAAATTAATTAGTGTGTATAAGTATAATCACGTAACATTTATATATATTTATCTATGAATGAATAGAAAACTTTTATGGTTATACAAAGTATACTGGTACGTGCATACTTCACAACAAATATTATGTTGGAAAATGATGTTTATATATATATATATATATATATAAGATGTTTTAATGAGTAAATAAATATCAAGCTATATAAATTAGACAGAAATATATTTCACACAGGAAATATCATATTAGAATACAAAATAGAAAAAGGGAAAACACAACATAGTTTGAAAGAACCAATTTTTTAAAAGAAACCTGTGAACTGTTAGTCGATGAGTTGTTTCAGTTAATCACTGTAGATTTTCTACCTTAATAGTTAGATAACAAACAAATAACCCTCTCAATAAATAGCACAAAAGAGAGATAAGAAGACATCACTCAACTCCAGCCTTTAACAATTTTTTTTCTTTCACAAAGCAAATTCATGATGTCTTCCTCAAACTCCTCATCTAGACCTGATCAGAAATTCAAATCCATTGTTGTAGCCATGGAGGAGGAGAATAAGAAGACAATCAACAATCCGAAACAAAGCTCTCTTGAAGAGGTTGTGTTTGAAAATACGATCCCTACTGAGAGGCCTAGTTTTGGATTAGGCGTTGTCCATACAGAAACAACCATGATGAAAAAATATCCACCAAAGGATAATAATATCGTTAGGTGCAAGATCTGCAAGAAATTCTTCCCAAACGCGAAGTCCCTTGGCGATCACCAATCATGCCATAACCAAGAGAAGGAGTTGACGAGGCAGCTAAAGAATCTGGAGGCAAGCTCTTTCCCTGGACAAGTCTCTACGATGAAGCCTTATAACTCTTACCAAGATAAGTCTAACTCTCTCTTTGGTGAGAACCCACTAGATCCTTTGAAGCGTGTTGGACTCTCTCTTGGTCCGTTTAAGCCCAATTTCCCTCCGTTCAATAACAGATTCATGGCGAGCACTAGCCATGGTTTTGCTTCACGGACTCCCTCACTCACTCACAACAACAATCTACACCCTACTTTGTCCAATGTTGATGTTAAATCGTGGCTTAACAGAAGTGACTATCCACCGTTGTTCAATCGTGGATTCTATGGAGGCTTTACGGACATCAACATGAACATGTTTCCTCCTACGAAGAATCCATACAACGAGATCCCTATCTGTGGCTCTTCCTCAAGAAACCCCTTACCATCATCTTACAGATATGGCCCTCATGCTTTATCACTTGACCTCTCTCTTGGTTTACCTAACCCAATAGGAAGCAGCATCAACAACAACAACAGTTGCTCACATGGCTTTCCGTTACCTGATATTCCTCCTCCTCCTAGTCCATCTTGGTCCACCGGAGACAGCAGCAATCGCAGCAGGGGAGTCACTGGAGGAGGAATCACGACGGATCTGAACATGCACTTGTGGCCTAGTGTGGTTGATTCAGTCACTAGGAACGATCCTCCTCCTCCAGCCACCAATCTTTCCAAGGATGAGAATGTCTCAAAGGGAAAAAACGAAATCCGTCTTTTTGGGATAAGGATAACTAACGAGGTGGCTGAAGATCATACTGAGGTTTAGCGTTGAATAAGTTGAATCTAAGAGTTGGGGTCGTGATTTATCTTTTATTCTTTTGAGTTTTTCAGTTTTCTTTTCCATTGATTTAGTATGTGTCTTTCATTTTCTAGGTATCTCATAGCTATGTGAGACCTTTCTTCACCTCATTTCTGATCTCTTTGCAATTGTCTTTCTCTTTTATTCCTTGTTGTCTTTGAAATATAATCTTTTGCGTTGAATAAATGTTTTGCTTGATTCCTGGATCCCTTTTTTTTTTACAAAGCCTATATTATCTCATGACTGTTCTACAAAATTCTGCAAATTTCAAAAGTCCTGGTCTAAATATTCAAAGGCGAATTCCATCTTTCAAAGATTAAAGAGGCTCTGTATTTTGTTTGATCCTATTCATTAGTTGTGTACTTGTAAAACATAAATCACACGTAGAATTTTAATCGTTTGCTTAGAAAATTGACAAACAAATCAATAACAATCGTAGGAGAAATATTAGGGCCTTTCATCACTGACTAGTGATGTAACCTACCCATTTTGTGTAAATTGCATGCAAGAAAAAAACGGATACACGTTTATTTTGGATAAATATGATGGCGTATCTATGAAAGATTGAGTATGCTAGCATTGAATAAACGTGTGGTCAACATAATAAGATTACTATCCTTACTTCATGATTCATGAGTCAAGGTTTGGAGTTAAGTTTTCAAACCAAACTATTCTGATTTGGTTTTACACTTTTATTATAAGACCAATTATTATTTTAGGACTACCGAGCATTTCCATTAGGTGGTTTCCACGAAGGTTCTCAAGAGTAAAAATAAGAAATGAGAGACAAAATTCAATTTGAGATTTGTGAGAAATGAGAAATGAAAGTTGTTCCTATTTCTTTTTTTTTCTATATATACTTTTGTCTTTCCTCCTATGTGCCTGCCAACATATTCATTTCCATATTATACATACAAACAGATATATGCATACTGTACTTTCTTTCTTTTCTTTTTTTCCCCGAATGAATTGATAGGATTGAACTGAGTTATCTAAAAAACGAATTTGACCTCTTTACACTCTAGAAACACATTTTCTATTTGTACATCATAGAAAAACACACTAATTTTGATTTCTTTCTAAGAAAAAATATAATATACCTTCTAACTTTCTAAGTAATTTCGACCTTTTAGTATCTATGATTTATATAATTGTAAGAGAAACTATATCACGTATTATAAATAACAAAAACAAATTAGACTAAAACCAAAAAAAAACAAAAAAAAAAAAAAAACAAATTAGATTCGTAAGTCCGTACTAAAATGTCAAACTCTTAAGAAATCACATAATAAAATGTCAAATTCTTAAGAAATCATTGTGATTAAATGCTCCTCCATAATAAGTATACAAACTTGAATTATTATTTTTTAATAATATATCTCTTGGTTAATGGCTTCTTTTTGTTTTTAGGTTTTTGGTTGTATGTCATCACAGCGGGGATAGCTCAGTTGGGAGAGCGTCAGACTGAAGATCTGAAGGTCGCGTGTTCGATCCACGCTCACCGCATTTTTTTCGTTTTTTTAAAAGCACAGCCTTGCTTCATAAGCGCTTCTCTTAAAACTACGTTTTTTTCTTTTATCTCGTGTCAGAGCCTTTTTCGAGAAAAAAAACTCTTCTCGTGCAAAACGATACACAGTTTTTTGAATTAAAGGTTTAGGGTTTCTATAATTCTACCTTCATAAAGTTTCTTGGCGTTGTATTGTTTATAGGATTTTTTGGGGTTTTGTGTTTCCATTTGACTATTTGAGAGAAGATGTTGAGGATTTACAGAAGCCATAAATTAATAAAATTACAGATATATATTCTTTTTGCATCTTGTTGTTCTTCTTCTAGGTGCAACTAAAATATTTGCAAAAGAAGTAATTTGAGACGCCTTGGACTTTGCTAATCAAATGACGGTCATAGAACTTTTTTTTGGGTTAAGTCATTATTTCTTTATTTTTCTGAGAAAAATGGTTCACATATATCATCCCTTTGAATAATTTTAACACGGTGAACGAACAGCAAAAGATTCTAACAATATAGTAGTATATATAACACATGCTTAACAAAATGGTATAGTCCTAGTTATGAGGACCAAGAAATGTGGATCACTCTCGCTTTCTTTTCTAACATTACGCAAATAATTTTTTAAACGATGCTTAAATCGGAGAAATAGTCACACTTTTACTTTGAAATGAAGTTTTAAGAAAAACGGTTAAGTGCACTTGTTGATGGTGTCAACGCGAAGTTCGTCCAAAGGCAGACAATCCCTAACATGGAACTCAATATTTAATAAACCTAATAGCCACTTTCTTACACAAGCATTTGACTTTTCACTCCTATAAATTCACAAGCAACAATACCAACCTTCACCATCACCAAAACAAACCAGCTCTTTCCTTTTGAGCTAATCAAAAACCAAAAGATGGAGATCCCAAAAACCCTTTTGCTAGTGATCTCTCTGGTGGCTGCAACTAGTTTCTTCCAAGCCAGGGCAGCTGGTGTTTACTGTAGCAACCCTTACACTCGTTGTTACCGCAGGTACATTGACTGTCCAGAGGAATGTCCAAGCACAACGGCTATGAACTCCAAAAACAAAGTTTGCTACGCCGATTGCGACAGACCTACTTGCAAATCCCAATGCCGCAGTAAGCTTTCTCGATACCTTGTCCTATAAGTTATCACTTTTCACACATGTATTTCAGTATTTGTGCACTCTAGTATGAATCATATATGTTTTTTTTTTATATAGTGCGGAAACCAAACTGTAACAGACCTGGATCAGCTTGCTACGACCCGAGGTTCATAGGAGGAGACGGCATTGTGTTCTACTTCCATGGAAAGAGCAATGAAGAGTTTAGCCTTGTCTCTGACTCTGACCTTCAAATCAATGGAAGGTTCATTGGTCACAGACCCGCTGGTCGCGCCAGAGACTTCACATGGATCCAAGCCCTCGGATTCCTCTTCAACTCCCACAAATTCTCTCTTGAAGCCTCTAAATCCGCCACATGGGACAATGAAATCGATCATCTCAAATTCAGCTTCGATGGCCAAGATTTATCTGTCCCGGAAGAAACACTCTCTACTTGGTTAGTATCAATTCTTAAAACAATCTTACTCACTCATAATACTGTATGTTTTCAAGATTCTTGAAACCAAATCTTTTGAAACAGGTATTCACCAAACAAAGACATCAAGATTGAGAGAGTGACTACAAGAAACAGCGTGATCGTGACAATCAAAGACAAAGCTGAGATTATGGTCAATGTGGTTCCAGTGACGAAAGAAGACGACAGAATCCACAGCTACAAAGTCCCATCAGATGACTGTTTTGCTCATCTCGAGGTTCAGTTCAGATTCTTCAACCTTTCACCTAAGGTCGATGGAATCTTGGGACGAACCTACAAACCGGATTTCCAGAATCCGGCTAAGCCTGGAGTCGCGATGCCCGTTCTTGGTGGTGAGGACAGCTTCAAGACTTCTTCTCTCCTCGTCAGTGACTGTAAAACTTGCATCTTCTCTGAATCACCACTGGAAGAGATGGATATTGTTAAGTCAGAGACTGAGTATGCAACACTTGACTGTACCCGTGGAGCCTCTTCTGGAAACGGAATCGTCTGCAGGAAGTAAAAAACCATCATATATGCTTAAAAGTTAAAAAGAATAATAATGGCAGAGAGCTATAGCTTTCTGCTGGATAATTTTCAAAATATAACAAAGTGAAATCAATATGTTGTATTTGACCTTATATTTACTACTTTGCAATGTATTTGTTTTGTATCATCCCTTCATCCATGTATTCTAATCTGTATTCAGTATTCACCTAATCGTTGTTAATGATATAAAATATTAATAAACGCTTCTTAGTCTACAAAACCCCCCATCAAAAACTTCAGGAAGACTGCAAAGGAAAACGTATTAAGTAATTATTTTGCGGTATTTCAGAGTTATCATCAAAGCGGGGATAGCTCAGTTGGGAGAGCGTCAGACTGAAGATCTGAAGGTCGCGTGTTCGATCCGCGCTCACCGCATTTTTAAGGTTAAAGTAACAGAATCGAGAATCTTTATAATCACTTTCTGATTCTTGATTGCTTTAAAGAAAACATCAGTACTCACTATATTACAAAACAAATACACCGTTTGAAAATTCGAATATAAATCATCTGAATGAATAATAATTTCGGATCCAACCCAAAAAAGTCTTCTCCTTTTCTGTAAAACTCCCAAAACAAACAATGTCCGTCTCTGTTTTCTTCCTCCTTCCTCCTTCTTCTTCTTCTTCTCCTACCTTCCACGAGGATGAACAAGCTGCGAAAACACAGCACTCGTAGTCGCATCCTCCGCATCATCATCAGTCCCAGTCCCCGAATTCCCTCCTCCTCCTCCTCCTCCTCCTCCTCCTCTATCAACCACACTCATACTATTATCAAACGGCTCCATCGGCTCCATCGGAATCCCGGGAATATGATTCGTGCTATTATCATCAGGCTCCATCGCCGTCTCCTCAAGCTGCAACGCATACTCCAGATTCCACAACACATCCCCCATCGACGGCCTATCAACCCCATACTCCGCCAAACACTTCTCCGCCGTCTCCCCAAACTTCTTCAGCGACGCCGGATTCACCTTCCCCGTCAAGTTCCCATCCATTACCTGATCAAGCAACCCCTTCTTCTGCCACGCCATCGCCCACTCCGCTATATTCACCTGCTCCCTCGGCAGAACCGGGTTCAACGCCGGTCTACAACACAGCACCTCCATCAACACAACCCCAAACGAATACACATCACTCTTCTCCGTCAGCTGCTGCCTCCTAAAGTACTCCGGATCCAAATACCCGAAGCTCCCTTTAACCGCCGTGCTCACGTGAGTCTGGTCCAGCGACGGACCGGTCTTGGACAGCCCAAAGTCGGCGACTTTCGCCACCAAGTTCTCGTCTAACAAGATATTCGTCGTCTTCACGTCTCTATGTATAATGCTCTGCGACGCTCCGGTGTGGAGATAATGCAACCCTCTCGCCGCTCCGATGCAGACCTCGAGCCTCTGTTTCCAAGACAGAGGAGCAAGATCAGCTCCGTAGAGATGACTCCTCAGGGGTCCGTTCGCCATGTACTCGTAGACAAGTATCATCTCCGACCTCTCGTCGCAGTATCCGATCAGCGAGACTAAATGCCGATGCCTCAGCTTCGAGAGCATCTCGATCTCGGTGCGAAACTCGGCCATGCCTTGCTCTGACCTAGGGTTCCCTCTCTTCACCGCGACTTTCGTCCCGTCTTCCAACGTCCCTTTGTAGACACGCCCGAACCCGCCTACTCCGAGGAGAGAGCCCTCGTCGAACTTGTTCGTCGCCTCCATGATCTCTTGAAACATAAAGCAACGGCCGAGATGCGTTGACGCCAAGGAGATGCAGCTCGCGGTGTTGCTCTTGTGAGAAGCTGTTGACTTTGTTAGCGTCTGAGAGAGTCCGTATAACGGCAATGGAAGCCACGGATGTCCTCCTTCTTGAGGACTCGTCGACGACGACCGCTTCTTCCTCGACGCGGCTAAGCAGCAATAGCAGCAAACGGCGATGAGGATCACGGCGGTGACGGCACCAACAACGGAGGTAAAGATCACGACTTTCTTCTTCTTGGAAGCTGATCCTCCTCCGGGGAGAAGAGACTTAACGGAGGAGACACCGCTCAAGCTCTTAGCTTCGTTGCTAATCTTCAAAACCTCCAAACCGTTCATCGTCGCGTTGGTGATATCAGCTTGCGAGTCAGGTCCAACGCTAACGGTTAACAAAGACTCAGCGGAAGAAGCATTGGAGATGTAATCTTTAAAGTAAGGAACTTTAAGACCGTTGACCAACGAGGAAAGGTCAAGACTTCCGAGAGCGAGATCATCGTTCACGTAGAGGTTGAAGACGAGCGTGTTCAACGCCTGGCTCACGATATCGCAGAAGTGAACACGGACGAAGTACCTGAAGTCTGGATCCACAGGAAGCACCCAGGTCACGTTGAAGCTCGGGCTCGCCACGTTGGCTTCGCCCATCGTGTCAGCAGTCGCGTAGACCATGTTGGGAGCTGTCTCCTGCGTCGTGGAAACAGAGTACTTGATGGAGGAAGGGTTCGCTGTGACGACGAGAACAGAGCTGTTGACGTGGAGGTACTCTGCGTCGTTCTCCCATTGTCTCCCCAACGTGTCGTTCTCTGAGGTTATCAACGGTCCTCCCATGTTTAGCCTGTAGACTGTTTCGAACGCGAGCTGGGAGAGGCCGGAGAAGGGAGAGGAAGGGTTTAGAGCCAGAGCTTGATCGGGGATAAGGTTGTCAGGAACAGAGACGACTTCAATTGCGTTGACAAACGCTACTGAGTTGTTGGAAGAGATGAAAGTTAGTGTTAGGAGATCTGAGGTTGCATTGACTGTGTACTCTTTGAAGATGTGAGAGGCGTTTTGGCTCTTGAAGGAGAAGTTGTTCAAGAGGACGAAGTCGTCTGTGACGACTGTGATTGAAGCGGTGGTTAGGTTCCAGGTGGAGTTCTTGATCGGCGAGAAGTGGAGACGGATCCAATGTCGACCCAAAGATGTGATTTTGAATCGGTACGAAGCTAAACCGGAGAAGACTCGAGCGGTTTGGTAGATCGAGTTGGTGGAATTGGAGCTGGTTGCTATGGAGGAGTTTCCGGTTTTGAGTAGGAGAGATGAGTGGAGAGAGTCTGGCACAAAGGTTCTTCCTTGGAAGGTTGTGTTTTGCGATGAGCCGCATGAGATCAAGTAATTGTCTGGCGGATTGAACAAGGCAGATGAAGTTTGGCAAGAGAGGAACAGAAGGAGAGGAAAAAGGAACGATTTTGTGATGAGCAACACCATTTTGTGGAATCGGTTAAGCTCAAAGCTTGGGTTTTTTTTTAGTAAGAACCCTAAAACCCAGAATCAGATACCCCAATGCCAAAAAGGAAAAAGAGGTGTTTTTGAGATTGCTATTGAAGAATTGGGGAATTTGAGTGAGAGAAGGAGGAAAAAGATTGAAGCTTTGAGGTTTGGATTCACATGGCGAGAAACCCTCCAATTTGGTGGAGAATGTCTGTTTTGGGGAAGAAGAGGAATCAATCAAACTCACAAGAGAGCAATTGGAAGATAGAAAAGGGAAAAGGGAGAGACTTTTGAAGCGGAACTTTCTGCAAATTTCTTCTCTGTAGTGTGGCTCTTTCCAGGCTGGTTTGATTAGGCTGTCATGTTACGGAGGAGAAGCAACTCTCAAAGAAAACCATTCACAAAAGGGCCTACACAAAGAGAGGTGAGAGAAAGAAGAGAGACTAATGAATAATTAACAATTTAATAATAAGATTAGTCGTTTACGTCTTTTAAGTTTAACAACGATTAATTAAGTTTTCTTTTTGTCTGTTTGTTTTATTGTACTGATGAGGTTGAATGAAATCGCGGCGGGTGTTAGCTGTTAATTTGATTATTTTGTAAGGTCTTTTTCCAAAAGATAAGAGGGAAGAATAATAAAAACGTACATTGTTGTAGTATTTATTTTGCGTGGGTCACTATTTATCATCACCTCTTGTTTTCGATCCTTAAATTTTTGTGTTTTCTCAGTGGAACTCTCTCAATCATTATCGTGTTGATAATTGTACATCTCTGCGAATTCATCAAGATTTATTGTTAAAGGTTTACAATGATTCGATATGGATATGCTCATTTTTCTTAATTCGTTTATGTTCGGTTTCGAATTTCTGGTTTTTGTAAGCAAACTTAATGTGGTTATGATAAACTTGGATTGGATCAGTTCGGTTTATACATGTAAAAACACTTCTATATATAGCACATTTTGATTATGGCTTTTTAAACCAAAACTTTGCTTAACTATTTTCCAACAAAACAACATATAATCAATGATACTATATATGTCTAGTGGGCAGCTACATAAAATTACAACTGTGATAAAGCATGTACATCTGATAGGTAGAAACTGATTTTTTTTTTGTCTTGATTAATTGTCGAAAAAAGCATAGATGGCTCAATTTATAAGTTGTTTATATCTGTAGACACTTGTTAGTATTAAGTCATGATAGTAAGTTGGATTTAGTAATGCTACCAAAATATGATTTGTATGTTTTTTGTCGATGAAAGTGGTTGCCGGTAGAAACCAAACTATATTGAGATCGTTTGGCATTAATGATGAAAGTTGTCTTTAGATATGCTTTTCAACTGCTAAGTTAAATAGCATATGTTAGCATATACTAAAATAGTATACAGAGCTTTTAATATATTGGTAGCAGAGGTAGAGATATAACTTTCAAGTTGTAACTGCTAAGATAGGTTAAAGCAGCCAAGTTCCCAACTAAAATTGATGAATGAATGGATGAATTAACTCCAGTCATTTATTTATGGTTTAAAATCTTGAATCTAAAAATAAATGAGTTAACTGATACATGATACTTTTAAGATATCATACTAAATGATGTTTTAGGGGGAATGTTACTTTACTATGATTCAAAGGACTGTTATTCGATTAATGAAATCTTGCTCTATCTCTGCAAATTTGAAGTGATTAATTGATAGGGATTATAAACCTCTACTCATGTCGATAATAGGTGTTTGAAATTATGCTAATCTATCTAACAAAATAAATAATACTACTAGGTAACTTATACAGTTACATGTTGACACTTTCGCAGGTGGTACCTAGATAATAAATTTGGATATGAAACTTTTATAAAAAAATGTTTAAATTGTCCAAAATTCGAAATTTGGGTGGAGCCCGCAAACGCGGCTTTTGGAAGAAGTGAGTAGACAGCGATGACGGCGCCGTAACCGACGGTGCTTCTCTCCTTTTGCATTGGCTCTGACAAAACAAAAAACATAAACACGAAACCGAAACTGCGAGTATGTGACGTTGTGTCCTAACGGAAAAAACTACGCGCACACACGGACAAAGAACAAACGTAAGTTACGTAACAAGTAACAACACGATCATTTTTTGTCAAGGGAATTATGAATCTTCTATTCAAAGAACAAATATACAACGTGACAAGTTTACAAATTAGGTAATTCAAATCTTACAGATCGAAAATAGTTAGATTTCCACCGGTACGTAATCCTTAGAAGGACGAAATGATTTTGCGATTTTATTACATTATCCATAACATACAAAACTCAAAACATGTCTTAAGGTGGATATTGGCCGTAGGTGGCAAGAAAGAGAGAAAATCGTAATGCAAGAAAGGAGTCTTGTGACTCTTCCGGTGAGCTTCAACATGTCTCTCAAGGTGAAATCTGGCTTGTTGATTTATTCAGTCGAATAAAAAACAAATTATGTACGTATGGTTTGACTAGTTCAAAATTATGCTTTTTTGTCTTACAAAATTCTGTTCAAACATGAAAAAGACTGGTGTTTTTATTTGAAAAAAAGACTGTTGTTTAACGTGTTGTTTTTTCTCCTCGTTGGAATATATGTATATTTGGGGAACTGGCCAATCATAACACGACGTGAAAATTTCGTTCTCATATGCAAAAAAAAAAAAAAAAACATAAAATTTATAGCATGATAAACAAATGTAAATAAAATCTTAGTTATATAAAAAATATAAATGCAATATCTTGAGAAAAAGAAGAAGAGAATATGATAGTGGAGAGGATGAAGTCGTTAGGTCACACCATGTGCTTGCACATGCGCTCCTATATCAAACCACATGATTCCTACAGCTGAAATCTTTATTATTTACTTAATCAAACTTTAACTTATCATTGTTTGGATGCTGGAATTAGAAGACGACTACGTACTAACTTGTAAGACTTTTTAGATTCGTTTATTTAATAATTTATGCGACCTTAATTAAAGGGATTTACAAAGTTCAAAACTTCAAATGAACGCGTTGAAATTATTTTTAGGGTCTGATTATAAATAATCCACCCTTTATAAGATTCATTAACTAATGCATTTTTTTTTTGACAACCGGTAATTAATGCATAAATTAAACTAGATAATTAGACAATGATCCAACTTCTTTCAGGTAGAATGGTAGATTGATCTAAAAACTTCTATCGACGTGACACATTTATTTAGAGTAAGTCGGAGAGATAATAAATTTGTATTTACACACTTAATTTTGTTATTAATTAAAGTTTTGTATGATTTGTTCTCTCTCTTTCTTATATGCGGTTGTTACTTGTTAGCTTCTATGAATCACTACTAGGGGCACACATAATATGTCATTTTCAGGGAAAAGACACTACATTATATCCGATTTGTTTAGCTAAACATAATTCGCTTTCTCACCGAAGATTATAACATGTTGGACCCACTTCCAAAAATCATTAACCTCAGCTAATATTTTCTCTTAATGTCAATATGATATGATATTAATCAGTTCTTTAAAACTTAAAACAAACCGTCGTTCAATTGTTCAAACGTGACAAACAAAAAAGGTTACCTCTGAAAATAATTTTAGTCGTGGAAATATTATTATCGTCATTGAGTACAAGATGGATTATCCCTGAAAACAGTGATCTATAGGGTTATACACTTATACTTATAGATTGCATAGTCAACATATTAAAAAACTTTAACAAAAAAACATATTAAACAACAAAGAAATGAATATACTATCATGTATGTCTATTTATTTATTTTGCTAACACAAAATGGATTGAAAAAAACACAAAAAAAAGAACAAATGGATTGAATTGAAATGTAGGGAAAGAAACGAGACGAAACGTTGGTCATGTCGAGACCGTCAATCACGTCAAGACCGTGAATCCAGCCGAGAGGCGCAATTCATTCTTTAGCAAATTTTCTGTTTAATTTATTTTTATGGATACAAGAAGAAAAACAATTATGGGTAACGACTCTTTCTCTGACTATGCTCACATCATCTTTCCTTTTTAGGTCCAACCCATTAATTCTTGCAATTATCTATCACACTGATCAGATCCAAAATCTTGATATTAGCTTCGTTACTGAACTAGAGAGTGAGAGAGACGCATATACAACCAACGAACAACTTGAGTTACCATATAATTTGAAAAGAAAAAAAAAACAGTATTTTGAATCATATATGTAACAGAAAACGTGATCGATGAATATAACTTTTATATGTTCAACAATTTGATTGCATCACTTCATACAAGTCAATAACGATGATACAAATTCACACTACACTCGTTAAAATACGTTTTCATACGTTTTGAAACATTCTAAGTACTCCATTGACGTTTATAAATTTCTCCACAACGCATTAAACATGGATACATTTTTGTTTATGGTCAAACTAACATGAATATATACATGTGTTCCATACTCCATATTGGACTGAATCAAGGCTATATAATCTTAGCAAATTTCACCAAAATACCCATATAAAATCTATCAAAATTTGTTAAAAAAACAATCTTGTCAAGACTCGTTTTTCAGTTACCAAATGTCAATTGCTCGTTACAGAAAGAAATAAAACAAAGAAAAGGTCAAAAACAATAAAACATTACATTTGGTGGATTCAAGAACCACCAAGCAAGCCCCCATGAAAAAAGAGCTCATCACACACCAAGTTTCTGATTTTCTGCATCATCAATCATTCAATGAAATACGTCTTCTTGAACGATTCCTTAGCGTTGCCAGAAGCCTCTTTAATCTCGCAATTAAGCTCGACCTCCATTAGCCGATGATTCTCCTTCGACCGGCTCATTACCAAACCAAGATTCAGATTATCCCCTTCCCCAACATTTATAGGATTCGACATAATGAAAACCTGCCACATTCACATAAAAAAAACAAAGAAAAAAATGAAAACTTTGCATTTGTTTTTGGTGTTTACGTTTACATTTTGGAAAAAGAACAATACTTTATGAGCAAAAACGAAACAATTTGAAGCCTTAATCATACCTGTTGTCCCCAATGTGTGCAATGTTGCTCACTTGGAGCTGTGGTTAACTCGATTTCTTGCTGCGCAGGATCTTCTTTTCTCCCCTAATTACAATAAAGAAACAACAACAAATTATAAGAGTTTCTTCCAAAATACACACAGACACCATGATGATGCAACCACAAGAATCTTTATCGACTAACTTACCCTGAACTGAACATCAAACCATCCACCAAAACCACATAGCTTTGTGAGCGGCACGTTGATGACTGACGATACACTTGACCTGACTTCCTCAATCTCACTGACAGTTGCTGTCAAACAATCCATCTCTTTGACTATTGTAGGCGTGCCTATGATTTGTAGCGGATTCAAGTCATTCCACATAGCCGTCTGCGCAAGAGAAACAAAAGTTTGTCAATGAAAAATGACAGAGCAAAAAGGTTTGTGACTCAATTTGCTATGACTATACATGTACCTGTATGTAGTACTTTTCTTGCTCTTCAGCAAAAGGTTTTGACAAAACGTCCATATCAACACCGTAGTAGCTTTTGATCTCATCTGAGAAGTTATACCAATCCGCCATCGCCCCATCAAAATCGTTCTTCTTACGATCCGCAAGATTAGATTTGATCGGTGCAAGCCACATGCGAGCATGACTAGGGTACCTGTTAGATTCAAAGTTTGAAGCTTTATTAGCTACACTCATCAAAAACCATATCTTTGCCTACTTGTTTTACCATTGGAGGTAAAAACATCATGCCATCAAGATATTTAACAGTAAAGGATCACAACAAGAAGTTACAGGAAATGACTTACATGACTCCTGTTGGCTTTAACCATCGGTCACGAGCAGATATCACAGAATCAAACATAGACTCCCTCAGAAGGAAGTACCCCATCCACTCCGAGATAATTACATCAACTGCCAAATCAAATTGATTATGTAAACACCATTAGCTTCATATCATACAGAACAGAACAGAACAGAACAAACATCTTCAACACTCAATCAAATTTGCTGTAACCCTGATTTCTAAACTCTTTCCTACAAGTTGCAACTAATAAACAGTAGGCTCTCATCTAACAAAGAGACTTCCTTTACTATCTCTTTACTCTGTTTCGTTTGCAAGTAAGCTTCTTTTGAAGTGAAAGAGAGAGAAGAAAGGGAATACCTTTCTCTGGCAACGAGATATCTTCAACAGATCCTTGAATGACTTCAACAATATGTTCAAGGTTATTGGCTTTGACAAGAGCACGAGCATGATCAGCCATTGTAGTAGCTTCCACTGCATAAACCTTCTTGGCACCAGCTTGAGCTGACCAAATCGCGAGAATACCACTTCCGGTTCCCACATCCAAGACCGTCTTCATAAACATTATTGCCAAAATCACAATTAGCTAAATTTCTCACAAAAATACAGAGAACAATAGCTAAGGAAAGTGGTAAAGATCCGAGCTTTTTTACCTTGCCGGCAAAGTGATGTTTGTTCTCGAAGACGGCGTTGAAGTAAGCGTCCATACGGACACGATCGGAGAGCATGTCTTTCTGGTGGTAGAGGAAAGAGTATGTGCAGAAGTACTGAGCGTAATCGACTTCTTTGTCAACTGGAGCTGCCGATTTTCCGCTGCCACCGGTTCCGGCAGCACGTCCTCCCATCGCGCCGCCGTTGTATGCGCTCCTCATTGCTGCTGCGTTTTAGTGGAGGAAGAAGAAAGAAGCAGCAATTGGTTTGTTTAGGTCAAACTGATTTTATTTTTTAGTCGGCAGGGGGGTTTGGCTTTAGGGGTTTTGGTTTCCACTTGCCACGTCACCGTTGTCTTTTTTTTTTTTTTTTTCTCAGGCCACGTCACCGTTGTCTAATTATCAATTTCCCTTTTTTCTCTTTTAAATCCACCAATGAGACTTCAAAGAAAGAACCACAAATTCGGAACTTTCCAAATCAAACAACTAACAAAAACAAAGTGTGGCACGAAGTGAAATAAATCGACCAGTGGATGGAGAAAAATATTTAGAGTATTGATCAAAAGGGTGAATGATTCGATTAGTATAAAAAATACTTATTCAAAGAAAACAAACAAAATGGTGAATGATTCGATTGATGTGTAACAAAATAATGAATTTGTAAACTATACTCTTATGAAATACTTATTGGTTTCAAATGTGACATTTGATGTTTAGCAATTTACTTTTCCTTCACTTGTACATATTTTTTCTAACATTTGACCAACACAATTCAATGATGACATAAATCTAATTAAATTTGTTTTTTTGTCTAAGCTCTAAGAAAATGCTCACTAAGATGCCAAAAGATATTCACTAAGATCCTACAATACAATTTTTTTTAGTTATTAGATTAACATCAAAAAATTAAAACATATAGCTTAACCTGGTGATAATATATTAAAAAAGCATGTGAGAAAAAGTGGAGCTTTTGATATCTCTCATCCGTCCTTTAATTTTTCTCAACAAGATTTCGCCGGCAATGGACACTCAAATATTTTGAGTTTTTGGTGTTTTTTTCAATTGATTAGGTCATTTTGAGTTTTTTATTTCATGCAAATGAGCGTGCAAAATTTGGGGAACAGAGCTTAAAGTCTCACTTGACGTAGAAAATACTTATGAGTTTTAAACTGCAAACATACTATGATTTGAGTAAGTGAAGATGTCATTTCCTTTTCTTTCACTTTTTCTTATTTTTTCTAACATTTGACCAAAACAATTAATTGATGACAATCTCGTCATTTTCCCTAAAATATTGAGGAGGATTGATTTAAAGGTAGATAAATATGGGCTTCAAAAGGGTAGATAAATTTCCTTACGGCCCAATAAAATATATCATTACTGGGCTCACTGATATTGGCATGGGTGGTGGTATAGTACAAGCTCGTCTTCCTTAATGTTGGCAAGTTTTTTTGGGCTTCACACGCTCATGTGTCCGTACGTATATCGTATCATTGTCCACTATTTACAAAATAAACAATTGCGATAATCATTGTCCGAGATGTGGTGCTTTAGAAGAATCAAGCAACCATGCCATTTTTGAATGTCCACCAGCCCTTCAAACATGGGCCCTTTCCCTATCCTTACACCACCAGATATTTTTCCTTCCTCCGGCATATACACGAATATGGACTACCTGTTCTGGAGAAGACCCAATATCGATAACGGAGAAGAGGATTGTGATCCCTTCCCATGGATCATTTGGTTTATCTGGAAGGCCCGGAACGAGAAGCTCTTCCGTGGTATAGATAGAGACCCTCTTGGGACTGTCCGTCACGCAGAAGCTGAATGCCGAGCTTGGCATCAAGCCAACACCAAAGCTCCCCAGCCATCAACGGCAGGGACCCAAGCCAGACGCTTACGAGATGTATGCATTGTAGATGGCTCATGGCACCAAGATCAAACACTTAGTGGTTACGGATGGATTTGGCTTGATTCGGATGGAAACCAACGTCTATTAGGCTTGCACAACCAACCGAGACGCATCTCCCCACTCCATACAGAACTAGAAGCACTACTATGGGCCATGCAATGCGTAGCTCAACACTCTAACGCTCAAGCTTTTGGGACGGATTGTCAAGATGTCATTAAGATGATCGAGAAGCCAGAGGATTGGCCAAAGTTCTCAACCGAACTTCAAGAGTTTAGCAGACTTCGGAGCCTCTTTTCTCATTTCTCTTTATCCTTTTTTCCCATTCTTCTGTTACCAAAGCCGACCACTTGGCCCGGCAGGCTAGATTGTTCACTAGGCCGCTTTCTTTTGTTGGTTGTTCTATTCCGGGGTGGGTAACCACACCAACTCTAGTTTGAGTAATAGAATAGCCGTTTGTTGCCAAAAAAAAAAAAAAAAACAATTGCCATTTTAATTTGTAACCTAAAATACATAAAATTAAGAAACAATTCTATCACCATTAAAAACGGTGAATAAACTAAGTATCATCAATCTATTCAATCATAATCAACAAAAAAATAATCCTCTTATAGTGCATGAACCATTCGTTTCCCTGCCAACAACGAGGATCCACCGTACGATTACTTGAACGGTTGACAAGCTATCAATATATCATGGGCATGTTTATTAACACTAACATATTTAATCCTGATTGTTTAATTATATATCTTCATACATATAGCACCACATGTGTTTCCTGTCCGCATGCATGATCATGCACAATTCCACTTTTACGGTCTAAATACATTTGACCTCTTCAATCATAATTTCATTTTGTTTTCTTTGAATTATTAAGCCAATGTGCAATGTAGAAGAAATGCCGTCCATGCTTTTGCTTATCTCCAGGTTATAAAGTCCAAAATTGTATGTAAATCATGCAGCTTTTATTTTAAATATTAAGGTAAAAATTAATTATAAGCCTAAAACCAAAAAAATAATTATAAGCCACATTAGCTGAAAAAGAGAGTATAAGTTATAAGTTTGAAACAAGGGAAAAAAAAATTGACAAAGGGAAATTTTTTATTGTTGAACGTTTATACCACGTGTTCATTATTCACCTAACTACCATTACAACTACAAGTCTACAAAGTACAAACACCACACAATATGAAACGTTAAGATTTATTTTTAACCAAAAAGGCTTTTTATTTTATGTACAGTTTCACTTAGCAAAAAATTATATTATTTATTTTTTTGGCATTAGTCAAACATGAAATATTTAATGTCTTGTTGCTTTATCTTGGAATAATTAGTTACTTTGTTGAATATTATGTATATACTGTATGTGATTTAATCAGGTTTGGTTTTCCTAAGCTCTGAGAAAATGCTCGTACAGATGCCAAAAAATCAAAATATACTTTGGTGATAATATCACAACAAATTTCCTGTTTTAATTATACGAGAAAAGTGTATTAGTATTTTAAATCCTGGAAAAGGTAGATTGTTATTTTATATTTAATCCAATAAACAGAAGTTTTTTAATCAAAAAGTAATTTTATTAAAAGCCACAAACGTGTATAAAATATTAAAATAAAATAGTAATAAATTATCATTTTGTGAAAAAGGTCGAAAAACAAAGGAGAGGAGAAGAGGCAGTGGAGAGAGAGAGAGATTGAGAGAAAGCATGTGGAGCTTTTTCGTTATCTCCTCCTCCATTCTTTAGATTTTCCCCCGAGAGATTTCGCCGGCGATGGCGGTGGAATCCTTAGAGACGGAGATGGACACGGCGGTGCGTGTGGTGCACCTCGCTTCTTCTCTCTGTGTTAAAGTTCAGGAGAAGCTCCGTCTTCCTTCCTCCACTAACAACGGCCACGTTAAGTCCAAAGATGATGATTCCCCTGTCACCGTCGCAGGTTTCTTCCTCCCTCACCGATTTTAAGGATTATACGTTGAATTTTGGGTTTTTGTTTTGTCATCCAGTTAATCCGAAATTGTTGTTTATTGCAATTCGAGATCCGTTTGGGGTTCTCGGTTAATAAATTTGAACGAATTTTCGGTATTGGGTTGCAAAAGAAATTTGATTTGCTTATCATTTTCACAATTTGAGCTGTAAAAACAGAGAAATCATAGTCCTTTGTTAACAGAATGCTTATAAAGTACACATTTTTATCTTTGAATTAGTGTTGTTTAATGCTAATCTTTGTATTACGAATCTCTCATCACTTTATACATTGTCCATTGTTGCTTAATTTCGCTTTCTGCTACTGACATTGCCAAAGTTGTCTCCTTTATTTGCAAAATCACAATTTATAAAAATGAATGCTTAAAGTGTGAGACTTTCATAACTATACTTTTTACATTTAACTGATTCTAGTCTTTGTTGGTTTTCACTTCATCAGATTGGGGTGTTCAAGCGATCGTGAGCTGGGTTTTAGCTGAAGTTTTTGGAGGTCAAAACCTTTCAATCGTCGCTGAAGAAGACACTGAGTCACTCTCAAAGGCAGAGTCTTTAGGCCTTTTGGGAGCTGTCTCCAATGCAGTCAACGAAGCGCTATCCGAAGCTCCCAAATACGGTCTTCCAAAGCCAGATAAACCTTTAGGATCGAGTGATATCCTAAAGGCTATCAGTCGATGCAACTCTCTTGGAGGTCCTAAAGGAAGGCACTGGGTTCTTGATCCCGTCGATGGAACGTTAGGCTTCGTTCGTGGTGATCAGTACGCTGTTGCTTTAGCTCTGATAGAGAATGGTAAAGTTCTGTTGGGAGTGTTGGGATGTCCAAACTATCCAGTCAAGAAAGAATGCTTAAGCAACGGCTGCAACCAAACAACCGGGTCGGTGTCGAAAGGATGTGTCATGTATGCAAAGAAAGGAAGTGGTCAAGCGTGGATGCAGCCGTTGGTCTCTGGAGGGTTCCCTGAATCTGCAGCAACGGTTCTCAAGGTTTCAACGGTCGATGATCCGGTTTTAGCCACGGTTTGTGAGCCGGTTGAGAGAGCGAACTCGAACCACTTGTTCACTGCGGGTCTTGCCAATAGCATGGGGGTTAGGAAACAGCCGCTGAGAGTGTACAGCATGGTGAAGTACGCGGCGATTGCAAGGGGAGACGCGGAGGTGTTTATGAAGTTTGCGCAGTCGAGTTACAAGGAGAAGATATGGGATCATGCTGCTGGTGTGGTGATTGTGGAGGAAGCTGGTGGTGTGGTGACTGATGCGGGAGGGAGAGAGCTGGACTTCTCGAAAGGTGTTTACTTGGAAGGTCTTGACAGAGGAATCGTTGCGAGCTCTGGTCAGGTTTTGCATGAGAAGATTATAGGTGCTGTTTATGCTAGCTGGGAATCTTCAAGTCTTTGAGTTTATAACGTTTTATAGCCAAAAGGTAAAATCAAGAAACTTGATATTGTCTCTCTTTTGCAAGATCATAAACAGTTTTTTTTTTTTTTTTTTTGATTAGCTCTTTTGATATATTTTTGTATTTGGGTTTCGTTTTGTGTTTTGTAGAGTATTTGCATAAGTGGTTAAAGATTTGCTGAGGAGGATGAATGTGAATCGTGGAGAATCGGTTAGTAAATATAAAAGGAAGCAGCGGTAAAAGTCTTATCTTCTTTTGTAGTAATAAAGCTACTTTTATGCCCTTATTGGATGATATAAAAAAAGTTTTATCTTCGTCCTGTAATTTTTTCCCCAAAGATTACTTAAAAGGGTATATGAAGTTTATGAACAATGAGTTTTCTCACTAAGATAACATCATAATGGTAAATGAACAATGGGTTTCATTTCGTTAAATATGGACCCATTGTTCAAAGATTCAAGAAGAATTTGGGGATGCTAATTAAGGATTAACCAGCAAAATCCAACTTAATTTGACCAAAGCATAATGGTCAGTCAGTTTTTGGGCTAATAAATTGTGTTTATTGGACCGACACTATCAGATTTTGGTTGGTTTTGAAGCCATTTTTCTTTTGTTTTGATCCGCAATGGATGGAGCTTTTACTTCCTCTGTTTTAGTACTCTTTTCATTTGTGTTGGTTTGAAGTACAAAATATTAAACCAGCCCGAATTAAAATGCTTTGAAGTCGGTTTAGCCGACAGGTTTAGCATCCTAAGAGAAGTAGCTTTTAGATGCTAATTGTATTATGTAAGTAGTCTAAAGATCAAAAGTAAAAGTTGGATTCTGCCGACAATTGCTTGGATTTGATGCTGTTTAGGAGATTTTTCCTCTTTAAATCTATCAAAATCCAACCTTCGACAAGCTTTTATTCACACATTAATTGAAGTGTGTTATCATTATTAGTCACAATTGTGTCTTCATCTTAGTCAGTACATATAATTACTAACAATAATTCAGTTCTACTACTAATAGACGAGGGCCAAAGTGTCAGTTATGAAGGCGTGGATGGTTAGTTGATAAACATCTCTTTCTCATGAATTTAATTCTTCGTGTTTTTTCCCCTAAATCTAAACTTTTAATTTGTTGAATAATAATACGCAGCTAGCTCGAATTATAAAATGTTATAAAAATAGTAGCTAAAGTAACACAATTGGTGAGAAAATATTCACACGGAAGCCTTATGAGAAAATAGTCTCATGTACAGTTTACCTATGATGTTGATTTTAAAATAGTAAACTTTTTATATGAACATTTGAAGTAAAAGCCTGGAGTAAAAGTATCCAGAATGTTAAAGTTAGTAACCACATCTATAAATTACAAAGGTACCGTTTGTATATGATTATATCTATACATATGTAATTAATTTTTTAAAATTTGGACGTATTCTCAGTTTCTCACCAGACATGTCAATTGATAATATATAAAAATGATGGCATGTGTCTTCCCGGATTTTAGAAACTATGACATGTTCAACTAATAACACATGTACATAATTCGATTACTAGATTCAAGATATACTAACCAGTAACCACACTAAAATGATCAGACGAGTTTTTTCATACGTCTTCAATTATTACCGATTACTATCATTGGAATACTAAACACAAATGTTATGTTGACAATACGAATTTCTAACATCCAATGTACATATGAACAACTATTACAAGATGAATGGAGAAATATAATTATAAACAGTTTAAGTTGATTTCCTTAAGAAAGTAAAGAAATGATAATAAATTCCATGTGCATAATTAAGCAAGGGTCAGAGTCAGATTCAGACATATTTGAAAGACCTTAGCATGTGCCTACTCCGTTCACTAGCACCACAAATTCAACTATTTTTCTATTTTCCTTTTCTAGTGGTTTCTAATATTATGCACACATGAAAGTTCATCAAAGTTAAATCACATTATAGATAAACTTTTGTGATATTTCAAGGTCTTATAGTGATATTTAGGTATAAACCCTCCACTATAAAATGATAATACGTATTGCTCTTAGATAGATGCATGCAACGATTTCCCTTATTCGAAAAAAATGAAAAAGTTATAACAGTGATATTCAAAGAGTTTCATTCCTAGAAAGCAGAAAGGAGAAAAAAACAAAGAGGGACTTCAGATCTACAAAAGTTTAACTCAAATTGTAAAGGAGTTATAAAATCATATATTCAACCACGCCCGTACATTTAAGATTCGTTGTTTGGTTTAGTCATCATTGTTTAGATTTATTTCATGATTCTTAGTAATTGTTAACAATGAATATCAATCTGCTTGTATTGTTATAATTTTATGTCTATGATAAAATTTTGAACATGATAAAATTTGTAAGGGAAAGTAACCAAACAGTGATACGTTTGTTGAAACCTTGTTCAAACTTGAAAGTATAAAATAATACAGTGTTAAATCTAAAACTAAAAGTATTAAAAAGTAATATAATCATGAGTGATATGGGCGAATGCCAATGGAAATTTGGAAAATTAAGGATTTTATCAAAAGTATTTCTAAATTAGTTTTTGGATAGTACTGTTGATTATCAAAAGACAAAAATGTCCTACTGAACAAGAGAAAAACAAGAGAAAGCATGACCGCTTGGGATTTGGGGAAACCGGAGAGCAATTATATATTTATTTTATATATTTTAAAAATAGGAATGAAGAGATAATATTAATAAATCACCCTTAATGCAGAATAACACTTCTTACCTATCCAGATTTGTGTATATCCAATAAACTTAATTGCTTAGAATGGTAAAGATTTTAACAATGACAGACAAAAATATAAGATAATATCAAATTTACAATTTGCAATGTTTAATTCTACAAAACAGAATCAAGGACCAACAGTTATGTACTTATGACCTTAAACAAGGTCAAGGACCAAAACAAGGACCAAAACAAAATATAAGTGCATATGTCCTTAAGTTTAAATATAAATAAAAGTTTTAAAAGTTAAGTCAAAATTTACACAGTTAACAATTTTATTTTATTTGTTATTTATATTACACTCATATTTGGTAACTCTATATTTACATATATAACTATAATATATTGTTCGTAAGTTTAAATACAAATAGAAGTTTTAACAGTTAAATCAAAGTTACACGGTTAACAGCTTTATTTGTATGTTATTCATGTTACACCTACATTGGATAACTCTGCGTTTACACATGTAACCATAATATATTGTTACCTTTTATCTTGAAAAATATATATACGATTAACAATTTTATTTTATTTGTTTTTCATATTACACCCACATTAGATAACTCTGCGTTTACACATGTAACTAGAATATATTGGTTGTAAGTTCAAATACAAACATAAGTTTTAACAGTTAACTCGACATTTACACGGTTAACATTTATTTTGTTGATTATTCATGTTACATCCACATTGGGTAACTCTGCAATTACACATATAACCATAATATAGGACCAACAGTTATGCACTAAGTGCATATGTCCTTAAGTTCAAACATGAATAAAAGTTTTAATAATTAAATCGAAGTTTACACGGTTAACAATTTTATTTTGTTTGTTAATCATGTTACACTTACATTCGGTAACTCTATATTTCACATGTAACTATAATATATTGTCCGTAAGTTTAAATACAAATATAAGTTTTAACAGTTAAGTCAAAGTTTACACGTTTAACAGCTTTATTTTGTTTGTTATTCATGTTACACTTATATTGGGTAACTCTGCGATTATACATATAACTATACTATATTGTCACTTTTTATCTTGAAAAATATAGATATATGCATAATAAATTATATAAATCTTAAATTTTTCTTTTTTTCTAAATGTCTGAGCAGGCTTTAGTCTCGGAGGGAGATTCAATTGATTCATCTCAATTGGATCGGACATAGATTTGGGGAAAAACTGATGGAATCGAACTTATATGGAAGTGTTTATTTTTTTTAATTCTTGAAAAGTTAAAAAAAAAACAAATGTAACCGGGAATTGATGGAGGAGGTTGTCCATATAAACAACTTTTTCCTTCGGACACATGACGATAGGTATATGTGGAATTTTAATTCAAGACATGTGAGGTCAAACAGTTGCCAATATTGTCAGTTAATTTAGGAAGTTTTGATGGGTATTGAGTGGTATTACTCTATAATCATCATGAATCATGATTAAGAGAAACAAAACAAAACAAGGTTGAATCTTTTAAAAACGTCAAAACAACAAATAAAAAGTAGAGTTAGCTTTAACTAGATTTCAAATTTCAGCTACCACCAAACAAACAACTTAATAATTCAAATTTAAATTTGTAGGAAAAACAAAGGAAAGAAAGAAAGAAAGAAATAAAAACACATGAAAGAGGAGTGTTCACTCACCGAACAAACAGCCTAAATTTAGATAAAATGCCATTAATGATTAAATAAAATTCGGTACGGTTACACATTCAAAAATACTTCTAAACAGTCATCAATCTCAGCTTTGTGCTTGACTGCTGCTGATTGCTGAATAATAAAAACAAATACTTACATACACATTATAAGTATATATACGTCTCTGTTACTGTTTGTATATAACTGTGATTATTCATGACATACACTATGACAGTTAGAGTAAACCAGAGTAACACAATTTACTCTATCTCAACACTTCAACAGTAATGAGAGTAATTTTTTTTTTCAGCTGAAAACTTTACTCCATATAAAAAGGTGGGAAATTTTACTCTGATTTTATGTTTCTATCAAACTTTTTATTCCACTTTATTACTCTAATTTGTGCCATAAACAGAAGCTCCACATGAAAGCTTCACTCTGAAAGAAAAATCTTACGGTTTGGATTCTCTTGTCAGAGGAAAGAATCTCTCTCTCTTCTCTGTCTTTGTTGCTCTTTTTCGTGTTTCATCGATTTTTGTAACCGTCTCTGTTTCTTCTTCTTCTCCGGAGAAGATTTTGAGATTCGAAATTGATAAAATGGGGAAGACGAGCGGGACGAGAGATTGGGCTCAGATCTACGCCATTTACGGGATCGAGCAGAAACACACTCTCATCTTCCTCTTCCTCAACGCGATCGCTTTCTCCGTACTCTCCGCCGCGTTTCTCATCTGCTTCCACCCGATCTGCGTCTTCCTCGAGTCGTTCCTCTTCTCCAGCTCCGCCGCCGCCAGATTCTCCGCCGGATTCTTCGGCGCCGTGACGGCACTCTCCGCCGTCTGTTTGTTCTTCGCGGCGGCGAATTTTCTGTACTCCGCCGTGCCGCTGAGGTACGAGATGGCGCAGCGGATGGTCGGATCGGTGGGAGATTGGTCGAGCGTGAAGACGGCGCTTGATCTCGGCTGCGGCCGAGGGATTCTCCTGAATGCGGTGGCGACGCAGCTGAAGAAAACCGGTAGTTCCGGTCGGGTCGTCGGGTTAGACCGGTCCATGAGCACTACTCTCTCCATTCTCCGTACTGCACACATCGAAGGTGCGTTTGCGTTTTCAATTTTCGTTGACTTTTTGACTCATTTTTTGGTACGTTTCAAAGTCGGTTTTCGTTGACCAACAATCCAACATAATATTTTTTAGACTTTAGACTATATAATGCGCGATTAACGGTATTATTTTGTAGACTATGGACTATATTTTCAATATTATTAATTTCGTTTTTTTTTGTCTCATTCAATTTTCTTTCAGTTCATAATTCATCATTTAAATTAAGTAAATTAATTGATGATCTAATAATGTTGTGGAGATGTAGGAGTGCAAGAGTACGTGACTTGCCGTGAAGGAGACGTAAGGCGGCTTCCGTTTGGTGACAACTACTTCGACGTGGTGGTTTCCGCCGTGTTCCTCCACACAGTCGGGAAAGAGTACGGTCAGAAGACGGTGGAGGCGGCGGCGGAGAGGATGAGAGTGCTCGGAGAAGCGGTGAGAGTGCTGAAACCGGGCGGGGTAGGAGTGGTGTGGGACCTTGTGCACGTGCCGGAGTACGTGCGGAGGTTGCAGGAGCTGAGGATGGAGGAGATTAGGGTTTCGAAGGGAGTCACTGCGTTTATGGTCAAGAGCCATATGGTCTCGTTTAGGAAGCCTAGTCAGCTTTTTGTGGGACCTGGTGAAGTACGTTTAGACTGGAGATGTTGAATGACGTGTAATAAAAGAGAAGAATTATAATTTCATACTTTTAAAAATTAGCGAATCCAAGCTGCCAAACTATATATAAAAGAGATGTTCTTCGATGGGCAGATACTATTAACTAAAATCGATCTTACAATATTGAAAAGATTGATTATGTTGGGGAACGACTTGTTCAGACAATCAGACATATTGTATCTTACGTCCAGACATTTTAATGCAAAACCAATAATACTTTGAAATAACTATTTTTTTTACTCTTTTCTTTCATATCTTCATCAAATTCGTTAGAGAATAGTTGAAATGGCATTGGTTTATTATTGTTACGAATATATGTAACGAACAAGAGGAATGTGTTGTGATGCGAGCCAGCATAGAAAATTAGGTTGGATATTAATGCTAATAAGCTATACCAAATCTAGGCAGTTGATTATATGTGGAAGCCTTTTGTTTGCTTGAAAATGAAGTGAAGTTACTTAGTTAGCACATAAGTGTCAGTGTCAGTGTGTCACTATCGATTTATTGATTCTCATTCAGTTGATTGATTCATTGATGAACTTTTTGATTATATCTTAAGATTTTCGATATTCTCAATACGATTTATAAAACCTGAACTTCTTAAAAACTTAATAGTAATCCGATCCAGATGAATTCTAACTATTTTCGTGTAAATGTGTAATCAATAGTCTTTGGGTAGAGACTAGAGTGTGTCAAATCAAAGGAAAAAAACGAAAGAGTTAATTAATAAGTTGGGTCCACGATCAAATGCTATTTGAGGACTGAAATTCAGGTGTGAAGGCGTCTACCTGTTTTCACTGTCTCAGCCTCTTTTGCCTTCTTCTCTTCGTTTGAAATGACTCATAGCACTATTGACTATGTTCCATTCTTTTTCTTTTTGAAAAAGTCATGCTAATAGTTAATACTATCATGAGTATTTTCAAAACACATTTAGTGGGTAAAAATTAGAAGAAGAAAGAAGAGAAGAAGGCAAAAGAGGATGAGAGGAAATACATTTGGTGTGTGAAGATATCAAACATAGGATTTGTAAGGTAACGTCTTAATCTCTTTTTTTTTGCTTCTCGAATACACTGAAAAACACACACCACCACAAGACAAAATCTTCCACAAACATTTTACAACAAACGCCTCAAATTTGTCTGATATTTCTATAATCCCAACCCGGACCAAAAAGCAAACATACAAACATATAAAGATTTCTTCTTGACTAATAGGTTGGCATTCAAAATGCTCAGAATGAAACTTAAAGAGTTGAGAGTGGAAAAGTTAAAAAGTGAAACAACCTCTACAACTTGACAGGGACGCAGTAGGAAGAACTGAGAAGTGGAGGCAAGACGCACACTAAGTGAGGACCCGGTGGATTGCTGCTTACGTTTGCTTCTTCTACCTCTGGCAAACCGAGCTGAGGCGGACGCACATAACCAGCGACTAATGGGACACATAGTATCGAGATTACTACTCTCGAACCTGTAGCAAACAAAAGAAAGAAACAACAATCATTTGTTGCTTGCAACAAAACAAAAGCGAGAAGAAGAAGACAAAGATTTAACTTACCTTGCTCCTCTGAGAGAGAGACAAAGCCTCTCTTCCTACCCGCAACCATCCAATTTTCTGAATTTGCATTGACTTCGTATAACACCTCGTCCTATGTGTATAATTAAAACAAGAGCGGTTGATGAATATGCAAGAAAAATGCTAACGATCCAACTAGCTTGATCTGGACATGACTTACATGTTGTTGGTCTACGGCTTCACTTCCCTTGAGATCTTTAAGCCTTTCGACTCTCCACTGCATGGTAATTAGTTTACCGACCCTGAGACCATCGGAAGGAAGTGGGAGAAATCCAACTGTGAGGCAAGGATCAAGCACTGGCCGCTGCAGAACGATAGCACTCTTGAACACCAAATCTCTCCTTTCAGTATCAGCTCCGGATTGATCTGCATCCACTGGTTTGTGTGCTCCAGCGGCTCTATCTCCATGGATTTCATATTTGATATTCAGAATGCTCTCTTGTAGCTGCAAATCTTTCCCTTATGTTGTGCAAACAAATAATTAGTTCGCAGTTAATACAATTTTTGTTTTCTCTTTTAGTATGCAAATGTCATTGCATGCTAATAGCCACTGCATAAAAGAGTTATGGAGGAAAAGAACAAGTCAGGGTTCAAGAGTTTTGCGACGTTATACAAGTGGATCTTCCTATTTTATGTTACATTATCCTTATGGGCACTGTTCTGTAATCAGAATTCGCAGATGGCGTTATCAGATTAAGTGTGTATGAGAAAAAGTAAACTACGAAGCAAGAAATCGAGTCATGTTAATAATTATTTAGAAGAATAGTAACAATACCTGAAGACATTGTCTTCTCTAGGGATATACTGAACACAACTGCTGCTCTAGATCCCGGGGACACAACAAGCGGGAAGAACGTTGAAGTTGGTCTTCCATCACTTTTCCCATGAACAAAACCATCTTGAAGATCAAGCCAAGCATCTTGAACTATCAAGTTGGCCTTGACAAGGGAGTGTAGCATAACCTGTAAATAAGAATTACTTGATAAATACCCTTGAGCGGACATGAATAAGAACGAGGGCACTGAGAGCTCAAGTTGGCTACCTGCAAGACCAAAGTGCCACCATTGCATTTGTTTGCCACCCTTGTAGTCACGTCAAAAGGGTCGGTAAAATGTGCGGCTATGGTTCTGCTCACATAAAAAAATCAGATGAGGAAAATAAAAATTTTGGGGGGTCAAACCTCTGATGTGGAACAAGAACAAGAAAGATTAAAATTGACCTTGAAAATAAATACAATACCTTTCAAATATCTGGTTATGATGCACCCCAAATTCAAGTTTCAAAGCTACAGTTCTCATTCCCTCTAAAATATCTTGTTTCAGTGGAGTGACTGTGAACGCAAAAGAAATAAATGATGGTAAATGTATGTGACAAGAGACATGTAATGATCAGAAAAAGTAATTTATTGCTGCAAACCTGAAGATGACCCTCTGGGAAGCTTCTCACTCAATGCACGAACAGGGACCCACAGAATAGAACTCACAGTGCTTGCCCACTCTGAGAAAACTATTTTACCATCGGAGAGCTGAAGTACCTCTGAATCCCGTTCTGGAGAGTCAGGGCTATCTTCTACAGAAGTTTCAGCTGTTGATGCACCAGCATCACTATCTGTTTCCATGTATCTCTCCATCTCGATGCCATATGAGTCTTCAATCTTTAGACCTGGACCAGTATCAACGTGCAAGATGGCGCCTTTCAGTGAGTAATTAATAGGACGTACTATGATACCAATCCACTGAGCTTCATTTATAAGCAGCGCGGAAGATACAGCTGCAGCAAGATCAACCAGAGCTCTTGGTTTGGAAACCTAAATAATAAGATGACTTTAGTATCAACGAAGGAAACAAATGTCCATAAAAGTATCACTACTCATGCATGTAAGTAATGATTTTCTACTGTTTCACAAGCTGTGATAAATTTCTTTACACTGGGAGATCTTGTACCTTCAAGATTGGTCTGGTTGGCTTTTCATAACTCATGAAGTCATCACTATCTGCAGGACCACCCTTTGAAAAGTTGTGAGACCTGAATCTCAAGCGCCCAATCTGGCCAGTAACGACTCCCAAGACATAGGAACCGGGTTTTTGTGGAGGTAAAGCAAAAGTGATAGTGTTCCTTCCAGGCTTTAGCACCGTTGCAGCAGAACTCTTCAAAGCCTGAAACCCAATTTATATACAATAAATTCTTAATAACGTGAAGTTAGATGAAAGACAAGGACGAGTTCATGTCCAGTAATGGCAAACCTGCCCGCCTTCGTCAGTGTTGCTGGTGGCTACCAAGGTAAGACTGAGTGAATCAAGGGTGATATCATCAGGAAAGCCACTCCACACAGTAACAGATAGATTTCCAGGGTCTCCATCACACAACTGAAGTGGAGGACCAGTATTTCCAGAAAATGTGATCAAGGACGACACATCTAAGGGAACTGGGTTCTTTATTTCACTGTGTGCAATATTAACAACTTCGGACTGAAAAGCTTGCCGCTCCTTGGACGAGAACAAACCCTTATCCAACGACAGTAGTCTAACACAAGATGACATGTACCCAGCTTGATCATTAAGAATCTTTTGACACTCAGCTAAATTGGGCAAGACTTCTGCCAGTAAATCTTGCCATCCTTCACCCGCATAAAGAGCACAAACTTTTTCATAAGAGTTTGCGGCCAAATCATATTTCTCGTGCTTGAAGCAGACAGCTGCAATTTCACCATCAAGTACGACACCATGTCTCTTCCACCAAGAACGGTGATAGTTTTCGGCAGCACCTTTGGTTAGATTCAGATATTTAGTCTGCCACAACAAAAAATTATACATGAGAAGCATAAAACTCAGAAGCTTCACTGTCCTTATGTAAATAGCATATGCTCATCTCAGTTATGCTACCTCAAAATCCTGAATAGATGACAATGTCTTCAACAAATCATGATCTGAAATGGTAAGCCGCAGAGCGTGCTCAGCTGCAACAAAAATTTCAGCAAGCCTCATAGGCCTATCTAGCGGACTCTCAAAATTTCCAGGTGAGGAATTTGTTCTTGACATGGGAGGTGCTTTAAGTGATGAAGGTGTTCTCGGAGACGCTTCTAAACCTGATCTGTCGGAATATATAAGCATATCATTTTAGTTCCTCAAAAGAATAACAGAAGGTGATCATTTGCAATACTTACTGGAAATTTCAAAAATATTTGAGATTAAGTGCTAACACATTGGAAAACAATAAGAGCTAAACGGACAGAATTTAAAAAAAAAAAAAATTCATTACCCTTCATTAAAACCTTGACGGCCATCAAACATTTCAGGAAGATTTCCAGTAGAAAGAGAAGCCCTTCTTCTGTTAGCCACACGTAGAAGGACAGATGGTTCAAGGGGTAAAGCTTTCCGTTGAATACCAAAGTGCTTGGTCCTTGAAGTTGCTTGAAGAAT